ATTGAGTCGACTTCTTCGGCTTGATGTCAGGCTGGTGTCTTCCTCGCGGCGCGTGTGATTAATGATTTTTTGACTTTTAGGGTTACGACTGGTTACGACTTCCCTGCCGCTCGTCGCATCCCTTGCGCGTAGATTGTGGAAGAAAATGAAAGAAATAGACATGTTGTATCTCGAGTCGTGCGTCGTTCGGCGGTTTTGTGATTAATGCCAGCAGGTTGTTAGCGGGGGCGGTCGGACCGGCTATAAAGTGCCATTTTTTACGAGCCGATATAAAAAAGTTAGTTACTTTCGCTCTCGTTTCGCCGGCGGGGCGAATTACGCGCTCCGGACACATTCCGAGGTGTTGCAATTACTATCAATTTAATTAGTTTAGTTTGCAGTTCAGGTCAAAAGTTAAAATTAAATTAAAATAAAAGTTTTTATGTCTACACAACTTTAACTAGACTATGTGTTATGGTAGTGGTTTGTTTTTAATCTAAAATAAATCGTGTTTTTTATAAATCATAGCCAACGATTCGTAAATAAAAATGCAGGACTGCAACTCAAGCAGAGACACTCGTATGAATCAAAAGAACGGCAACGGCAACGCCGATTGCGTAACGATTCACTGAATTGAAACGTAATCTTTTTTACTTAATAGAACCTAAATCAAAAAAGCGGACATGTTTCCGATTGCCGGCCAGGGGCCGAAGGATTGTAACGTCGTAACAATATAGCGTATAAATTATAACAAGAGGACGAGTCCAGTGTGTTCCGATTACTAACAGCGACGCAAAAAAAATCTGAAAAAACCTTCAGCACGAAGAAAAGGCGCCGCTTTGGACTTTCCGTTTTCGTTTCGCCATCCGCATTGACCCCGGCTTGCAGTCCAGCAGCTACGAAGTGCATTGCATTTATGGGCCGGTAATGCGACCCACGGGCGCGACCTTTTCGACCCCGAACTTGCTTTACACGTCGTAAAGGAACGCGCAATGAAAGAAACGTTAAGATTATTGCATTTTAATTAGTTACATAAATTATTACGCAACTGGTCGCTTTTTTATTGTTATTTGCTCACTGACCAGCGCGATATTCGATACTTGTTAACTATTTGCATAACATTTTTCCGAAAGGGGTTAACTTTTAGTTGGTTGAACTGTTTGAATTGGTCGTGTTTGTAGGGCGTCATTTAGGAATTTATTTCGGCCGCTGTTTGCACTGGAACGTTACTTTGGAAACTTTATGTGCGCAAGGAGATGGCCATGTAATATGCAAACGCGGGGCCCACAGCGGCGAAAAACATACGCACGTTATGCTTATGATAAATTGCTTTATTAATGCACACACCCTTTGATTTATAATGTATACTATTATTAAACAATAATTAATATTTTTGATTTTTGCGAAAATTTTAGATTTAAAATTTAAAATTTAGTTTTCACAGCTTTAAATCTACAGGTGTGATTCGTTTCACTCAAATTTCAACGCACAATCACCCCAATTGTGTCTGTACTATATTTAGCTGTGCATTAAAAAAATAAAGAATGTCACAAGGGTGCAATGATAGATAACCTCGCATCGTGAGATTCTTAGAGTTTTGCGTGCGTATGTGTGTGGCACGCACGCTCGCACACAATCTCCGAGGCGCAAAGCGAAACGGAAGTCGAAGCTTCCCCTAAGATGAGGGCCGAAAGACGCCACCGACTGCGCGCGTTATTATCATTACATTGTGTCCTTCCTGCCGCTGTCGAGATTTATTGGCGCTCGCTCATTGTTTGTCATTAACGACAAACCTTCGACGGCTTCGGCGTTCGATCATTCCATCATTCGATCACTGCCGCATTCAGGCATTTATAGGACAATCAATGGCACAATGACATAGTAACATAATGAACTAGTGAGACTTAAAATGTTACGATTATCTTACATTAGATTAATAGCACTTTTAAAGACTAATAAAATCGGTTTTTTCATGGTAAACAAAAAAATTACGTTATGGACGCGTTTCAGTGTGTTGTCTACATTAAAAAAGTTATGTTTATTTTCATATTTATGCGCTATTCATAAAAGTTTATGACATTTTAATAAACCCATCAAGAACGCGTAACGTAAAACACCCCTCTCGATTAAACTGACCACAGCAACTTTTCTTTTTTCCCGGTTTTAATGCGGAAACGAGCGTGAAACTCGTTCGAATCCAGTTCGAACACAGTCCAAACCGGAAGCACTGCGGAAATGACCGGTGACCTTTTGATAAGCGTGTAAAAGTGGCGCTAACCACTTCTTTACGTCTTCATCGCGCATTTCCACACTTATCGGTTGCACTCCGCCGGCATTTCCAGTTTCTTGTCGACGGTCAACGTCTGGTCAAGCTTTGGTGGTCACTGGACTACCTCAGGGGTCGCCTGGTCATCACCTCTTGTTATGCATACTCGATGACCATATCTAACGCGGCCACTCGACACGACACACACGAATATCTTGTGACATGCGACATTTGACGTTTAGCATGTCATTAATATTAATTCGTTTGTTTGATGGGGGACGGTAAGCCGCGCAAGAAAAATGCATAACTATTTATCGTGGTAGTTAGCAAACAAGTTTATGGGAGTTCTAGTACGTCCTTGGATATTATTCCCGCTTGGTTATTAGTCATTTCGACTTTTACTACTGACACTCAGTCAAATGCACTTCATATTGAGCAGGGAAATAGTGTCCTCGTAAATATTTGACATAACCTTAGTAGAAAACTGCCTGGTGTAGACAACCCTTCGCACATCTTGCAAAAAATGTTTAATTTGAGCAAACAATGCGTGGGTCATCATTGCGCATCAGCAAAGATCACGCTCGGACACGTCACACAAATCCGAAAGGGACGCAAATGTCGGAAATCATGAAATCTTTATCCACGCGCAAAAATACGCCTTGCATCAGCATGTTACTAGCCTCTCTTGGAACTTAATAAGGACGGGGTTTGTTCTCAACCCTTAAAATCCTACTTTTGATTGGAATTTAATTGATATGCGGATTAATGACTCCTCCTTTTAATCCTCTGATCAAAAGGGTGATTTACACGAGCGTCTAAGGAGTGTAACAACTCGTACTCGTGTTGGAATAATTACAACTTTGAGCGTGGGCGCGTGGCCAGTGTTTGTCCACTTTATTTTTTGCGGTGGTGGAAACAAGGGCAAAAAATTGCGTTTTAATTGCGCGTCGTAAGGGTCGTTTCAGGGAGCTGGAAGTTTGTCTCTGAGTAAGATTTAAGGATTTACAGTAGGCAACCAAGGGTACGGGTTGAATCCACAAAAAATGGATTTTTGTATTAATTGGATTAGAAGTTGTTGGTTATGGAAATATTTATTAAATTAATATTTCACATATTTCATTTTTTTCAAAACGTTGAAGATTTTATAACTGATAATATTTATCACGTGTTTACACGACAGTTACAAGCGTAATTCCCTAATAAATTTATTTTCTTTATTGCGTGTTTAACCGTTAGTCATCGTACTAGATTCTAAATTTAACAGAAGAAAAGTTGTGATTAAATCAAATGGAGGCGCCGAAGGGCAGCGCCTTAACAATTAAAAAACGTTTTACTCGAATAATTTCACATCGGACACGGTCTTGTAACAATCAAAAATTATAACGAATTTAACATGGACTCTACATGACCCTTTGCATGCACTTTCATTTTTTTTTTGCTTGTTACGATGTACATGTGTCCATTTTTCCGGACACCGCACACTCGTATGCTTGTAAGATATGCGAAGGACGGGTTAAAGTTGTAGCCGCTACGGCCCTACGTAACCCAGCATAGCAAACAAAAAAAAAGAAGAAGACAAGTTGGAAGGAGGGTGCCTTTAAGTGGCCGCGTTTGTCTGGCGCTTGTGATCAGGAAATAAATAACGCGCCATGAGGAAGTTGAAAGTATCATCTGCATGGGTCAGGCGCAAGCGGCGCAAGGGTGGTGACCCTTTCGGTCACCCCATCGTGCCTCTATTATACTAATTCCTACAATTCCTTCGGCTGATTACAATGAGTGTCCCGTACGGGCCACTGGTCATGATGGTCTTATGTTTTTTTTTTTTGGTGTTCTGTATGCACTCAAGGGGCATTTCTATTTGAAAGTTTGATTCATGTGTAACGTATTATTTTTTAATTAAAACGTATACACTTTGAAAGACGAAAGACTTGGGGTCAATGAAATGGACGCGCCGTGCCGCCTGTAATTGTTATGCAGATTGATGGGAAATTGACACGTCGCGAATAAATTGCACCTCGCGTGCTGGCGCAAAAAAATGATCGCATCTCCAGATGAAGACGCGTTTGGGAGGTCGCGAATGCAATGATCTCGCCGGCAAGGTCAAGGCTGCCGCCCGACTGCGAGATGCACTTCAAATTACTTTCGCTTCGTGAACCTATAATTAATTTCGTTTCGTACGTTGGGTTTTTTTCTGTTTGCTTGTTTTTGTCGCTATAAACGTGTTTTTCTTGCGTGCGAATTTCGTATTTTGATGATGAGCCAAAATCTGAGAACGATCTTTGGATTTATAAAATTTATTAATCGTTTAAGGTTTATATTTAGATTTTATTGTGATATTTTTATTTAAAAAGTTGTTTCTCTGTTCAGTTGCTCAATTTTTAGTTTATTTGGGTAATACATACATGCGGTTCCATCTTGAGAGTATAATGGAACACTTATGTATTACTTTCAAGTTCGTAGATTATTTTCAATTTACAGAACCCTTTCTGCGAAGTGTTTGTTCGACTTATTGCAGATTTTGTACAGGCGAGCTTTTAGATGCTTAATTTACTGTACTATAGATGGCGCTAGGCACTTCAAGCTAAGACTGTTTGTTGACAATCAATCCATCAATCTCAATATTATTGACAACACTTTTTAAAAATTTGAATAGCAAATAAACAAGAGTTAATAAATAAACATTTCTTTCTGTTATTTAAATGTACTGTTTAGTTTAGTAATTATTTTCATATCCTCTTTGATATTTTATTTTCAGATAGTGTGCATGCAACTTTACGTCAAACGTCATTCATTCAAATCACAATTTGTTTACGTCCTGTTTCTACGTGGGTTCAATTGTTATTAACGCTTTAAAAGGTGAGTTATCATTCGTTTTCACCACTAAAACACATATTTTAAATGGAAAAATCATCGTTAGCGTGTCAACCTTCCTGGAGACACTGCACATGGAATCTAAACACTCTTGTGACGAGAATAGTTGAACCGTCGAGGTTATGGCCGCCTCAAGATCGATGCAGCTTGCTCCCATTTACTCCAGAATAATATCGAAATTTCCGCCAAACTTTTCCTTCTGCTTCGCGTACGGTTCGGGTGTGAAGAAGCAGCTCACTGCCGCCAACAATGCCGACCAGACGGCGAACATGATAGACCTGATCTACTGTGTAGACCATCCAAAGAAATGGCATCAGAATAATCTCAAAGATCATGCAACACATTATAGCTTCTTGAAGCATCTTGGTCCAAAGTTTATAGCATCTTATCAGGAAAATTCCGGCGCCAAGGTGTATTTTAATACACTGGTTCCAATCGAAGGAACATTGATTAAATATGGTGTAATATCAACTAGTGACTTGATAACAGATTTATTAGATTGGTCTGATTTGTATGTGGCTGGCAGATTGCACAAACCTGTTGAGATTATCAAATATCCTACAAAGCCTGAGATTGAAACAGCATTGCAGTTAAATTTGCAGTCTGCTGTGCATGCTGCCCTTCTAATTCTGCCAAATACATTCTCAGAATATGAGTTTTACTACACAATATCAAACTTAAGTTATGCAGGTGATTTTCGTATGACTTTCGGGGAGAACAAAAACAAGGTGTACAACATTGTAAAACCGCAATTGGCCGGCTTTAGGAACTTGTACAAATCCATCTTGTCTGGTTTAACAGACTATGCTGATTTCCCAGTGTTGAAGGACGCTCATCAAGATGGAGCCGTGTGTTCCCAAGACACAAATCCGTTGGCGAAGTTGCATCATTTGAATCATTTGCCCAAGTGCCCTCAAAAAATGTTGACTCGTTTTTGGAATCGCGGTCAGTTTAAGCAGGACACTGAAGATGTTTTAAGAGCAATTGCATATGATCCGGACTGCAGTGCTGTTGTCGAGCAGTGTATCAGCGAAATCGTGTGGCGGTCGTCGGTGTGGCAGAGTTTGAAAGGCGTTCTTACCGCTGGAGTCGTGAAGAGCGTGCAATACAGCGGGAGAAAAATAGCGAAAATGTTTAAATAATTTTAAGTATTGATATTTATTTCAAATTGTTATGTCATCAAATACAAATGGTCGTAGCTAGTCGTGAAAGCCAAAATTAAATCTAAAGAACTTATATTTGTGTTGTGTTGTTCTTATATATTGTTCAAGTTGAAATTTTAAGGATGCAATGACTATTGACATTAAAGTATTTCATTTTTAATTTATTTTACATTAATATTTGCATTTTTATTTTGCAATAGGTATGTATCAGTTATCCGATTCAGACACAACGGATTCTGACGACGGGGTACGCTTTAAGACAGCAACAACTCGAGATAAACACAAATCGACTCAATCTAAAGACAAACAGAGGAAACCAAGTCGAAGTAGAAGTAAGAGTCCGAATCGATACCGCCATAGACCTCGGGCTCGCAGCAGATCACGCTCGAAAAGTCCAAGAAGACCGTCTAGTTCGCAAAAACACAGATTATCTTCTCGTCGTTCTAGATCTAGGAGTAATGATCGCCATAGAAGATCTAATAGAAGTAAGGAGTCTAGAAGGAGCAATGACACTAGCAAAAGAACACGATCCAGGAGTAAAGAAAGACTCAGAAGCGTAAAACCGGTGCCTTCGTCGTCCTTGAAAGGTAGTCAAACATCTTTAGATGATTCTACTAAAGAAGATATTCTGAATACTGTATGTGAACGTAATGTACAAAAATCTGTTGATGGTGATAAAAGTAATTTAAATGATGATTTAATGGATGTTGATGTAATGGAAGTCTGTGGTCCTGCATTACCACAAAAAAGCGAAATTAGTGTAAATATTTGTGGACCAGCGTTACCGCCACATTTGATGAAGTCTTCAGCCACTGAAATTTGTACAAAAACTGAAAAGAATGGTGATATTAAAGATGTAAATGCAAGCGTTGAAAGGGCATGTGGTCCAGCATTACCTCCCAAATCTGAGAATACTGAAACTGTTTGTGGTCCAGCACTACCACCACATTTACTCAAAAAGAACGCTTCGGCAACAGAAACTGAAAACATTACCTCAACAAAAGAGGAGAGATCAATAGGACCTTTTATACCCGAACATTTACGAAAGCAACTTGCTGATCAAAGTCCAACTAATGTAGAAAATAAAGAGGAAAATGAAGAAGTAGAGTACGACGAAGTCCATAGTGACGATGATGATGATGATTGTTATGGTCCTCTGCCACCTGAGATGCAACAAAAATCAAGAGCACACTTGGCCCTTGAAGAACGCGCTTTACAGATGAAACTTGACCAGTTAACACCTCAAGCTGCAGATGAACCAGGCCGTGAAGAATGGATGATTGAATTGCCTACAGTACAAGCAACAAATTTAGGGTTGGGACCACGCCAGTTCAGAGCCAAACCCGGACCTGATATGTCCGACAGATCTTCATGGACGGATACGCCTAATGACAAAAAGAAAAAATCGACCAAAGCGGAAAAAGCTGTTGATCTACAAAGAGAAGCCGAAATTAATGCAATGCAAAAACGCGACGAGGAGCAGGAAGCAATGGTCAAGAAGGCAAAGAAGAAAAACAAACGTGATAAGAGTTTGATGGAGCAACATCAAGAAAAATTAAATGCAAAGAAAAAGGTAAAGTTTTATTGTGAAATGCCATTTTAAAGGTTAACACATTGTTTTCTATTTTATTAACAGGCTGATAAAGAAAAGGGTGCGTCTGTTCGACGTCCATTTAACCGAGATACTGACCTCAAAGTTAATCAGTTCGATGACGCCCAGAAGAAAGCAATGATGAAAAAGGCGCATTTATTAGACGATAGATTCTCGCATGGACAGACGAAGTACTTATGAGGTAACCGAGGTCATTTTAAAAATATAAACGTATTTTATTTTATTTTATGATTGAAAATATATTCTGAGCACCCAAAATGAACAGTAAACATAATACAATAAGTTTTAAATGTTTAACTATATTAATGGATTATTTTTGTGGTCATCTTTGGCGCCAGTCATGGTGAAGCTGATGTCCGGTGCATTGATATCCGAATTGGCAGCTCGCGGTTGATTGTTGCCATTCTGGACGATTGCAATAGCGGCGTCTTCACGTTTGCGCATGAATTTGTCCTTTTTATGGGTTAGCAGGAAAATCAGCATGAAAAGGCCGAATGTACATACCAAACCCATTGTGATGTAAAACGAGACATTGCTACCGCGCTTTTGACATGCTTGCCAGTCTGTGTGTTCAATTTTGTCGTGATGTTGTATTTCGGTTCGATACTTGAATTTAGTACAAATGAGAAGACAAAATCATATAGTGACTGATGATTTTAACTTACGAAAACTAGCTGATGATCTTTATAATGGTTGCACCATCGTTTCTGCATTTCTACCAGATCGTCACAATCAAAGAAATTTGTTTCAAACGTCTGAGTATCAATCGCGTCAGAGATATATATTACAAGTGTACAGTCATTATACCATCCTGTTTTGGTGGCCAAAAGGCAACTGTTGATTTCAAAACAAGTAATTGTCTTATCTTACAAATCTTACTAAGAATTTTATGATTGAAGATACTTACGATGAGTTCAAAATTATGAAGAGAATTAAAACACACGAGGCGTACCGCGTCATGTCTGAAACTCGTATGAACTAATTGTTTGACACACTGCACAGCTAAACTTGTTTATTGAAACAACGGATAGGAGTTGTATTTCCTAAACAAAGCAATACTCAGAAATAAACAAGGGTATAATTGCATTTGAAGAATGTATTTAGAATCGGATTTAGTTACACGATTAATACAATGTTTTGATAACGGATGGTTAACAGGTCACCAATTTACCGCCTTCGCAGCAAATGGGGTCTTTGCGGGTGTTGCCCGCATACAACCAATTATCGTTGCAGTTTTTATAATGAACTGCGGGCTGCAAATCAAATTAAAATAATAAATGTTTCATTTTCAGTTTTGCAATTAGCTTACTCTTAGACCAATCGCTGAATTGACATGAGCACAGAGGATTTCAACTCCACGATTGGCATTGAACGCTGGTAGGGCTAGGCACATCTCTTTGCACTTGGCCTCATCGCAGTTAAAGTTTGGCATTGCTGTCTGATAATACAGAGGGGTTTCGACACTCTTCTTCGGCGACTTGAAGGCACCACATTCACAACGATCGTTGGTTCTGGACATATGATAAATCATAGTGTCAGTACCTGGTTGCTTTGGGGCAACGTGGGCTTCGGTGGTTTCCATGGGCATTGGTGTTGTTGTAGGTATGGGTTTCTTTGGACGTCTTGCAGCGGTACATCCATGACTTTCATACAAACAGGAATTTATTTAATATTTGTGAATTATAATTAAATGAAGACATAATTACCACATAACAAGAACGATGATCAGAAGAACTGCAGTTACACGTGTGGCAGCCATTTTATGACTTTGTTTTGTTCACAGCGAACACAAACTAAGTGCGAATCCAGGTTTTTAAACAATTTATAGGCGCGCATTATTCATCTTTAGGAATTTGTTTAATCAATACGATGAGTAAAAATCTTAACAATACAAAATTATTTGTCTTCAAGTTGATACAGGGGACATTTTTGGTTGGTGACGAAAAGATAAATACTTCATTTAATCATCAATGCTTGTTTTTTATTTATTTTTCAATGATTTGCATGCTTTCTAATGACTAATTCTAAAATTCTAATAAGTTATATCTATAGAGAGTACCATATCATTGCGAATGTCAATTTTTACAATATCTATGGGGATTAAAATTATTCGTCCCAACAAGGCACCGGTTTTGATTCATGGCAGCAGATCTTCTTCTCACACGTCAATCCACTGTACTTCCATTCTCCATCACAAGTCCTCGACCATAAAGATGGCTGAAATAAAAGAAGAACTTTGGCTTTTAGAATTGCATGAATACTGGATGGTTTTAAATTGTACCTGCAATGCCATATGTTCTAAGTTTTCACAAAGAATCTCTGGTGCCTTATCTTTACCGACTTTCACCAGCTCGATGCACAGTAACTCGCAGTTCCTGGCATCTTCTTCGCTGCATGTAGTATTCATCGGATTCTGCACCAAGATTGGCTCCATTTCACTCGGAAGTGGTTTGTCGCTTTCGTTGGCATTGAAAGCTGCACATTCGCATTTGGTTGCTGATCAAAAACCAAAACAATTAAAATTTAAATACTAAAAAGAAAATGGCAACGTGACTTACACCCTTCAGCGTTGATGGCAGCTACATGGCACAGTAGCACGCAGCTGAAAGTAAAATCAAAGTTTAATTAACGTAATATTTAAACTAAGTTTGATTTTACTCACAGTGTCACAGAGACGATAACACACCGTCGGAACATTTTCACGTTTGTTTTGAAGCTGATAGTTCTTTGGTCGATGGTCTTCTTGATCGAATGATACTTTGCATTGTGTCGACGTGAAATTTATATGCACCTGATTGATTACGTTATGAACATTAAATCGCCTTATCTGACTACTCGTTTACAATTAGTGCGAATTCTAAACATGAGGCTAAACTAAACAAATTTTTATATGCTCATTGTATTCAGGCGCTGCTTATCTCAGACAAATAACAATTACGAAGAATGTTAATAGGAGAGTGTGTAGTAATTTTAGTATTCGATTACGTACAAACAAATTGCAAATTGATACAATTTCTAGACGTAACAGGAAAATTACTTGAATCACTTTATAGTAAAAAAATGTTAAATGTATTGACGAATGGTGTTAAATTATTTTGGTTTTGTTAAATCATTAACTTTACTACTGGAAATGACAAATTTTGGACTTAAATTCCAATTATGGTTTCTCGGTCTCAAAATCTTCCTTAATAGTTTTGCAGACATATTTTATTTAAGCAAAATCTTCAACAACCTTCTTCAAAATTAATACAACATACATTTGAGCGACATCTGCGTAACAAAAGTATAACGTGCGTTCAGAATCCTGTTTACCGCTCACTACGCATGCGCTGTTTTTATGGCAACACACTGACGGTTAGTTGACGGTTGCACGCTGGACGACAGTTTTTCGAATCGAATATTTTGTAACCGCCAAGCACGTTTTCATCTCACCAGTCGCTGCCATTCCTGTCGCGCTGCGCGTCTTGCCGTTTCGCGCAAGCACCATTCAAGCACTCCGGCTCAAATACACTCACCCGCGAGTCAAAAGCATACTATATTAACATATTTTATATTTATTATATTTTAATCGGAAGGCAGGATGTCGCGCGACGAGAAAAATGAGATTATTCCTGATCAAATATATGATTCCAACACGAAGATGATGTACAGGAAGGGCCGGTTTTTCGGCAAGGTAAGTGCAGCTCGTTCTTTATTACTGGCCCAGACAAGGTAGACAAAACATTAAAAACAATGGAGTTATGTTCATACGCCCATTACTAAATGAATATCGGCGCCGCACGTTGAATAAAGAAAAAAACAAGATGGAGAAATTGGTTGGATTCAGTGGATGTAACGCGCAGGTGTCGACCTTTTAAATTTTTAACGGTCGGCGTGATAAATACGATAAAGGATTATCTCAATGCTTTGTTTTAATTGTAAATTTCTCATTTGCATCTAGGGTGGCTTTGCAAAGTGCTACGAGATAACCGACACCAATGGGTTGGTTTATGCGGGAAAGATTGTCTCCAAGACACTCATGCAGAAACAAAATCAGCGGGATAAAATGACGCAAGAGATTGCCATTCATCAGTCACTGAGGCATAAACACATTGTTGGTTTTAATGGATTTTTCGAAGACGTGCATAATATTTACGTTGTGCTGGAATTATGTCGCAGACGGGTATGTATCAGAAATCAAACAATAAAATGTTTAAATAATGTGATATGACTTTATTTGAAATTAGTCAATGATGGAACTACACAAACGCCGAAAAGTGCTCACCGAGCCGGAGACACGCTTCTACATGAAGCAGCTTATCTCTGGTATAGATTACCTGCACTCTAACAACATCATACATCGCGATCTTAAGTTAGGCAACATCTTTCTGAACGACGAGCTGAACGTGAAGATTGGTGATTTTGGGCTGGCGGCCAAAATTGAATTCGATGGCGAACGTAAGAAGACGTTATGCGGAACGCCGAATTATATTGCGCCGGAGATTCTTACGAAGAAGGGTCACTCGTTCGAGGTGGACGTCTGGTCATTGGGATGCATCATGTACACGCTACTCATTGGTCGGCCACCGTTCGAGACAAGTAGCTTGAAAGAGACTTATTCAAAAATTAAGAAATGTGATTACAAGTAAGATGTAATTCATTATGTTTTATGAATTGCTTATTAATTTTTTGGTGGGTTTTTAGAATATCTAATAATATATCAGAAAATTCCAAGCATCTCATCATGTTGATGCTGCAGCAGGAGCCTTACAAGCGGCCAAAGATCAGGCAGATCGACGCCCATGATTTCTTCTTAGGTTACACGCCTTTATCGCTGCCTAGCAGTTGTTTGTCGATGGCACCACGTTTCGACCAAGTCGAAAGCCTCCAACGGAGGCCTCTCATTGAAGTCAATGGTATTTTAATGTTCATATTTTCAAATCAATTTATTTTTAAATTTGTTTTTGTTAATTTATTAGGTGGTGCTGCTGCCAGTTCAGTTTCGCCGTCGAAACCGCGTAATTCTATTGCTGCAAGCGGTGTGACTGAGTATCGCACCAACCGTGGTTTCGATCCTAGGGAGAATCTACTGATCCTGCGCAAGATGCTCACAGACGTGTTGGCGGTGAAACCGGCGCGCAGCAATCAGAACTTCGGCGACGAGATGTCTGATCCGGCTGCTCAGCCGCTGATCTGGATCTCCAAATGGGTGGATTATTCGGACAAATATGGCTTTGGCTATCAACTCTGCGATGAGAGCGTGGGCGTTATGTTTAACGATTCGACGAAGTTGATATTACTGCCTAATGCTATGTAAGTTCATAATTGCTTAGCATTTTGTTGTAATACTAAATTTGTATTATTCTTTTTATTATAGTAACGTACATTACGTCGAAAAGAACGGCGATGAAAGCTATATGACTGTCGATGATTTCCCCAAGGCACTTGACAAGAAAATGAAACTACTATCGTACTTCAGTCGCTACATGAAGGAGCATCTTATCAAAGCAGGAGCGTCGGTGGTGCGTGCTGCACCTGACTCACTCTCGCGTATCCCGGCTTTGCACCAATGGTGTAGGTCTACATCCGGTGTCCTAATGCAACTGAACAACGGCACCATTCAAGTACGTTTACTAAAATGTTTCAAAAATGTTTGCTAATTTTTGATTTCTGCAGATAAACTTTAGCGACCATTCAAAAATAATCATGTGTCCGCTGATGGCTGCGATCAGCTACATCGACCAAGATAGATCGTTCCGCACGTTCCGGTTCGAGTCCATTGAGCGCAACGGGTGTTCGACGAGTCTTTACGACAAGATCCGATATGCGCATGACAAGCTCGGCGGCATGCTGGGTACGCAACCGTATTAACAATGCAACATTGATGTCCAATGCGTATTACGCGATTTTAAAGAAATTTCGAAAATATTCCCCGCCACAAGATGATAATTGAATAGGGATAAATAAGGTGAGTGAATGTGTTCCATTCATCATTGGTACTGAGAACCCACTAATTTGTATTGTCTTATTTTTAATATTATTGTAATTTGTATATTTATCTATTTCATACACGAAACTATTATTAACTAATGTACGTTTAACTCGTTGTTATATTTAAATTACCGTACGCTATTTGAATAAAACATGTATTTTATATGAACTGGGATATGAACCCGCATTGGCGAGAGGACACACTCGTCAAAGGAAAGAGGAATCAACATACATAGTTGGGTCAGTACGATTTGGGTTTTGATGCCTGCAAGGGACCAACCAACCACCTAAGAGTGGTCTATCCCCACCTATTTCCGGGATCTATGTAGTGTGCGGCGAACACTGCTCAGTCGCGTCTGAGTCGTCCAGTAGCACAATTGCAGGGCTCTTGATTCAATTTTATTCCGATCGTACACAAGCGAATGTCCAAACTCTCTCTTGTACCACAAAGTGTTTCATTTATTAGTGAAATCAATAATACTATGATTGCAAGTGAAATATAATTTTAAAAAAGTCTAGTGACTGATATAAATGGTTGCGGAATAAGAGAATATTAGTTGTCCTTGTTGCACCTGTGTGCTAAATAAGTTTTAAACAAGAATTGACACTTGAACTTGTAATGGTCAAGTTTCACAAGCACTATCTGAATAGAGCTTCATAAATAATTCAGATAAGTGATTAAAACTTTATAGTTTTGGTGAACAAATAAGTTTACATTCATATTTTCAAACTCTTAAATATTTCTCAATTTTAAGCTACCTCTATTTCTACAAAAGAGTAAAGTTAGTTAAACTATTTTTAGACGTCCTGGCAACCTAATTAAACCAAACATCCGCGCATATCGCAACGCCATTGTGTGAAATTAAACACCATTAAAACTAAAAGAAAACCAAAATAAACAAATCAAAGTTTCGGCAGTTTGCGCCCGGTGTGTCCGAAAATGTGGGGTTATCTTACACCCAGCAGCTGATTGTGCGCGGTCGTCGACCTGGCTCACATTGATCTTTCCGCGTCGTGTGTTGACGGACTGTGTTGCGCCGCTGCCGCCACCGCCGCCGGGTTCCGCGAGTCATCGCCCTACGTCCTCCAGCGCACGAGTCGATCCCCATCATTTGCTGATCAAGATGATGTGCGGGTAATTAATTGGTGCGTGAGTGTATCGAGTGAGGTTCGCGTGCGGCAGTTGGGTGCAGTTGTTGACTGCAGCGATGCAGCGCAGTAAAGAAGACATCTTCGATCAGAAGAAGATCGAGATCGAATCATGGCTGCAGCGGCTGGAGAAGCGTCTTGGGCAGATGGCCCCCGTCGGGCATACGGCCGACGTGCTCGGAATGCAATTGCGCGAGCAAAAGAGCTTCCACGCCGAGATACACACCTTCAAGCTGCAGGTTGAGAACTTCCAACAGCTCGCGCAAAAGTGCATTGCGATGCATCAACATGAAGACACCAGTCGTTTTAAGCGAGTAAGTGAATTTTTTTATCAATTCATCATTTAAATGTGGTTTAATTTATGTTATTTTAACAATATATTCCTTTCCTAAACTTGGTGTTATTGTTTTTTTTTTAATAATTTATTGTTGTCTAGTCGTGAATAGATAAAAATGTTTGTAACCTTCTTTGTTAAGTCTGTATCAGACATAACTCAACTCTATACTCGACTCGATGCATGCGTGATCAACCGTGGCAAGCTTCTTCACGCTGCGATGAGCTCTCTGCAAAACCTCGACCGCTCTCTTGACAAGTTCCTCGCATGGTTAAGCGAGGTGGAGTCTGTGCTCGAGTCGCTCGAGGCCGATAGCGACTCACGGAGAGGCGCTCAGGGTCTGGAAGAACTTCAGATTGATATAGACAGGCAATCAACCACGCATCAAGCTTTAAGAACTTCTAGTTTAGCGCTGCTGGGTACTTTAGCACCTGAGGATGCGCTCATGCTGCAGCTGCGTGGTGATGAGATGGAGCGTCGTTGGCAAGCTTTAAAATCGAGAACAATGGAGTTAAGAAATAGATTAGAGCATAACACAGAATATTGGAATGCATTATTACTAGCTCTAAGGGAGTTGACAGAATGGGTGATTAGGAAAGACACTGAGTTGGGTTTAGCTTCAAGGCAGGATGATCATCGTGCGTTTAGACAGCAGTTGGAAGATAAACGACCAATGGTGGAGAGTTCTCTACGCTCTGCACGACAATTTGTTGCTGGGGAACCCTCGGGTGAACTTGCGAGAAATTTACGCCGAGAGTTGGTCAAACTTAGCGATAAATGGAACGCGTTGATTGATAGATCCGATCAGATGGCTGCTAGATTTGAACAGAACAATGTTGTAAGTAATATAGGCAACCATAATTGCTTTATTATACATGCGATATATCAGCATAACTTTCTGATTTTTGAATTATTTGTTTAGAAACTTAAACAATTGACAACAACATTGGAAGAATCTTCTGCAGCTGTTGCGCGTCTTGAACGCGCTTCATTGAGTTGGAGCGGTCCTAGAAATCCTTCGGAAGCTCGCGATCTTCTCAATGGTTTAACTAACTTGGAGCAACAATTGCCTCCTTTACAACGCTGTTTGGAGGAAGCCCGTAATCAGGCTTCTATGATTGGTCATGCCCTGCCTCCGGCTCAAGCCAATCAACTCGAAGATTGCACAGCGCGTTGTCGCGCCCTTCAAGCCGCCATTCGCGAACGCCGCGATGTTTTACAAACTGCATGCCAAGGTGAATTGTCGCCCGGACCTTCCAGCGTACAAGCGCCATGGGAGAGAGCGACTACACCTAATAAAGTACCTTATTATATAAATCATAGCACTGAAACAACTCATTGGGATCACCCACATATGCTCGAACTAGCTCTCATCTTGCTACAACTGAACGAGGTACGTTTTTCCGCATATCGCACCGCGTTAAAATTGCGTACAATTCAAAAAAAGCTATGCTTCGATTTGGTTACTCTTGCAACAACGACGGAGTCGTTTGATGTGCATGGCCTACGTGCGCAAAACGACCGTCTCCTAGATGTGACCGATATGATGATGGTATTGAGGTCGTTGTTCAATGCAACAGCTCAACAGAATCCCAACATGGTGGACGTACCGCTTTGCGTTGACATGGCGCTCAATTGGGTGCTGAATGTCTATGATAGTCAGCGGACTGGTCAGATACGAGTGTTGAGTTTTAAAGTTGGGTTGATTCTCTTGGCGAAAGGCCATCTTGAAGATAAATATCGTTATTTGTTTCGGTTGATTGCGGATCTTCAACAGAAAGCCGATCAGAGAAAATTGGGTCTTTTATTGCACGATGTGCTGCAGGTACCAAGGCAACTCGGTGAAGTTGCTGCATTTGGCGGTTCTAACATTGAACCAAGTGTGCGGAGTTGTTTGGGTGAACGTGAGGAACTTGAAGCTACGCATTTTCTCGCCTGGTTAAAGCAAGAACCACAATCTTTGGTCTGGTTGCCCGTTTTGCATCGCGTCGCTGCTGCGGAATCAGCAAAACATCAAGCAAAGTGTAACTCTTGCAAACAGTATCCTATCGTAGGCTTGCGGTACAGATGCCTCAAGTGTTTCAACTTTGATATGTGTCAAGGGTGTTTCTTCTCCGGGCGTCTCACAAAGGGGCACAAATTATCGCATCCGATGCATGAATATTGCGCAGCTACAACTTCGGTTGAAGACGTGAGAGATTTTACAAAAGCATTGCGTAATAAGTTTAAGAGCAAGCGCCATTTTGTGAAACACCCAAGAGTGGGTTACCTGCCAGTAAGATCGGTCTTGGAAGGCGATGAATTGGAAAGTCCTGTGGCTTCTCCGCAACACAATGACATGCATTCAAGGCTGGAAATATATGCGAGTCGTTTAGCAGAGGTGGAATTACGCGCTGCATCACCCGAAGACGAACATCGTTTGATAGCTGATTTATGTCACTCATTAGAGGGCGCACCCGCTAGTCCCGGACAACTTATGCTCGTGATTGACGAAGAGCAACGCGCCGAGTTACAGGATATGATTAGAGAGTTAGAGGCGGAGAATAACGCGCTACGGCAAGAGTATGACCAATTGCAGAGAGGATCAAATCCGCAACCGATACAAGCACAACATGATGTAGTCGCGGAAGCTAGACTGTTGCGCCAGCACAAAGGGCGTTTGGAAGCAAGAATGCAGATCTTGGAGGATCACAATCGTCAGTTGGAGGCACAATTGCAGAGATTACGTCAGTTGCTTGACGAGCCCGGTGCGACCACCACCACGCTACAAACTCGGTCGGTGACAGCTTCTCAGTTGAATCAGGACATTCCGGGCAGGGTTAATCAGCCGCCGCCGCCTTTAAACGATCACCGCTAGTATTAGTACTCGTAGTTGTAATACCTTATCATCCCACTAAGCTTATGGTAAAGTATTTACTAACATATCTCCCTATACATATACTCATGAGTGCATATCGTAGAAAGACGAATGATGAAACAAGCTTACTAGTATCTTCCAATGTATACAATATACTATAAGTGTGTCGGAGAGTCAGAGATGTGGTATATGCTTCACATTAAAAATCACAATAACACAGCCGCCATTGTGGTCTCCCACAACTCTGACTTTTTTCATCACAAGAGACTAATATCGTTAGAAAAATGTTACAATCACGTTAACTGTGAATGTGTTAAGTTTGAAATGACTGCATGCCATTCTATTAACTGATCATCATAATCATCACACTCGAATATTAATCATAACTCATTATATTAAAAGGTTCGGTTTTTCACTGGCATGTGTGTATTTGTAAAACACGTTTTGTGTCTCTATCAGTCGGTACAAACATTATTTACAGAGAAGCGATGGTTCATCGATGACAATATTTATACAAAACATTATCTAATAACACACACAAACAGAAACACTTTTGTAAATTGTGAGCGCTTTTGCAGCCATGTTTAAAGTTAAACGTAAATTAAGCGTAGGAAGTCAGCTAGACTGGATCAGTATTTAAAAACAAAACAAGTAAGGACGTTTTACAAATGATGCCATAATATCAAAATGAGATGCACGTTATTATGTACGTATAAGAAAGGATTACTCTTTGTTATAAGCGCAACTGATTTATACACTGCACCCCCCAGTAACTTGTATGTCGTGCTTTTGATTAATTGACTCCTTAGTCGTTTGCCTATGTTTGTGCCATATTATAAAATATTACGAAAATAAATAACTTTTCATGGGGTTATTCGAAACCAACGTGTTTCGATACGCAAGGCACGAGGAACTAGCAACCATAGATTATACACACTACTAGTAACCATCAGTAGTCCACGACTTGTTGGTGCATATGCCATCACCACGCCACCAAGTGTTCACATTATTATAATAGTGTTTGTCCTGTGTAGGAGCGTGGAGCATAGTGCACAGTCGACACCAGAAGTAGGTGCTTATAAATTCGCCTGTGCCCTTCCAGCGAAAGTAGGCGTTGTAGGCATTGTCATTCTTATCTAAGTGATGCAGATACGTGGCGAGCTCGGCGGGCCCGCTAAATTCGTCGACGTGTATGTAGGACTTTTCGGGAGCACTGTATTGGTAGTCCAATGGATGGGCACCCATTACAATTGGAAGGACATTGTGACCGAGGCCGTTCACGTAGAGTTTTTCGGTGATGTAATCGCGGCAATTAGAATTTTCGAATGCCAGATAGAACTTGTAATCGCGTTCTAGTAATTCGAAGCAGGCATTCTCGTCATGGCGTGGACATCGGAAGGGACCGCAATAGCCGAAGATGTCCACGGTGATGTATTTGGAGAGTTCAAGTGCGTACTCCAGTCGTTTGTTGGCCGCTTTGCAATTGGAGACGAACCATGCGACTTTTTTGGTTTTATTGGCGGCGTAATTCATTTCCTGGTGTTTTTGACGGACCTGCAAGCAGTATATTTCATATAGTTGCTTTCTACGTGTTGGAGGAAGTAACAAAGAGAACGGGCAAATTTGTGACGACGATAATACAGCAAATTGGTACAGGTTTGTCTAAAATAAGTAGTGACCGACTATACGTAAGGAATATTTGAGATTGTAGAAAATTTTTACAATAATAGTGTGATAATTATGGAATAACTGGTTCTACCGTCGGAACTAGCGGTTACATTAAAATTTACTACAGCGTGTCATATGGTAATGACCAATCTGCCAGTACCAACCTGTTTTGCTACCTATAAACCTGAGTATACGGCACTTCCGGATTAAAAGAAACGAAGAATTTATTTCGTCTTTTTTGATTTGCTTAAAAAACATAATGAATCCAGGAATAAATATACTGAAACCTACTTTGGGATTATAATACATCCATCTTCTGTACGGATCAACAACCGTAGAATCTCTCCGGTAGGTGAGAGTCCAGTTGAAGAGCTCGGGGTATTTAAGCGGTTTTGTGTGCTTGGGACTCTCAAGGAAGTACAACATCCATAGTTGGTTGGGCGGGCGGTAGACGCCAGGATGCTTGAAGGCATCACTGAAGATGATGGCATCCGCGTCTACCGCGCGCCATTTATCATCCGTCAGGACACATCGGTTTACAGGACAACCATGGAACGCACCCGTTTTGATTTTTACATTATTCCAGTCACCAAGGTCGTTATAGACCAGTATTACTTTTTCAGTACTATTGTAACCTAGAAATACAGCGAAAATTACAAATTGTGGAAATTGTAGAGCAGTGGATTGATATTTTCAGTGATGAGGATTATGATATTCCTTACTTTAAAAAAGTTGTTAACTGAGAAGATTTGAAATACTGATTTTGATACCTTCATAGTTATCAGGCAAGTACATCAATTGCTCTAGCACTCTATCTCCAGGATCATCTTGAGGGAAAATCTTGTGTGGTCCTGGCGTTTTCTCGGGAAATTCAGTGCCCCCGCAAAGGTACCAGTTTCGTTTTGTGTGCGAATTGTTCAGATCAGGGACGGGTTTACACGTGTGAGAAGTGCTACCGGTAGAAAAATCTGCACCAATCCCAAACCTTGAACTGTAAATAGGGCTGCGAGGATGGTAGACGAGGAAGACAAGTATCACGCCTCCGAAGCACAAAACACATGTGTAGAAGCGGCGTATTGACCACTGCATGGTTTCAGTGGAATAAATAAACGGAAATTCACATCCGTGAAATTAACACCAATATGCTGATACGCCAAAAAGTTTGACAGCAAGTGGAAATGCAAACAAGTGGTTTTGAGCGTTTTGAGTGGCAACGACGTCGACAGAGGACACGACCGAGTTTGTGAAATATGAGATATGTGTTAAGTTTAGTATAGGTTCATAAACGTGGTGTAAACGTCTAGCGCAGGTTTTGTTTTGGCTGTACGCGGTTTATTGTACGTATGTATGATTAAGCACGTCTCATTTTCACGTGTGACACGATTTCGACGGTGCTAAAAGTACTCGTAAGTGACAGTAGGATTTGGTTGTAGGTAACAAAAATTGCTTCATTTTCCATTTGGTATGTATTTATTTGTACAACGTACACATCGGTTGGTACATGCATTATTTACAGAGAAACGTTGAACCATCGATGACAATATTTATACAAAAATCTTCATCTAACGACACAAATACGATTGTAAATTGTGAGCGCCTTTACAGTCGCCATGTTTAACTTTAATTTATTTTTAAATTAAGTAAAATGAGCCGACTAGATGTGCTTAAAAGTAAAAAGTTAAAAATAATATACAAATAATTCTATATACGGCATGATTGGATTTTTGTAATCATAATCGTTGGCTTACTTTGTGCCATTTTAATACATATTACGCAATGAAATAACTTTTTGCGGAGTTAATGCAAACTCAAGTTTCTCGATCAGCAAAAAACTTGCTTACTCATTTAAGTTTTATCAAGGTTAAGTTTTCTCAGCCTTTAGTCACTAGACAACATTCTATTGTGTAAACGTTTAATTTGCGTTACGATCACATTAATACTTTTCTTGTTTTAGTTTAGTTTCTTCTTCTTGTAATGTATACGATAACAAATTTAATTTTACTATTATGTTTTTGGGCGCCATTTTGTATGGGACATGCATAACAAACAGTTTCTGGTTTTATCTTTCGATAATTCTACGATCAATTCACTTCTGCAGGTAGTCACGTGTCACTATTGCGCCATGATTTGGCCGTACAGACGCCGGGACCGCGCCACCAATCGTTCACGTCCTCGTAGTGTCTGTGCTGGATGGGCGCATGCATCATGGCGCACAATCGGCACCAGAAGTACGTGTTGATGAACTCACCAGTGCCCTTCCAGCGGAAATACGCGTTGTACGCGCGATCGTCCTGATCTAAACGGTGTAGGTAGGCAGCCAACTCAGCTGGACCAGCAAATTCGTCCACGTGTATATATGAACCTTCCGGTGCGCTGCGTTCGTAGTCTTCCGGGCGTGCTCCCATCACAATCGGGAGCACATTGTGCCCAAGGCCGTTGACGTAGAGTTTTTCGGTGATATAATCGCGACAATTTGAGTTTTCAAACGCCAGGTAGAATTTGTAGTCGCGGTCCAGCAGTTCAAAGCAGGCCTTATCATGGCGCGGGCACCGAAGCGGCCCGCACGTGCCATAGATGTCGACGGAGATGTGCTTGGAGAGTTCACGGGCGTACGCTAGCCGCCCGTTTCGGGATCCACAATTGGAAACGAACCATGCGACTTTTTTCGTTTTGTTGGCGGCGTAATTGAAGTGCTGTGGTTTTTGTCGGACCTGGAAAAAACCAAAATGTAAGTAATCCACAATTGTATTTTTATATTTGCTGATAATGATAATTGAAAGTATGTACTTCGTTTCGGCCATTAACGAAAATGTAAAACAGAGCAAAGTCATAAATTTTTATTTGCGTTAATTTTCTGCCCGATTTCATTTCAATTTTAAATTTGACACGCGATGTCAAAACAATGAGTGGATTGATTGCATTCAACATTTTAATTGGATTGGATCAATTTTCTGCAAGCATGCAGAATACGCAAAACCACCCCGCAGGTGACATAATCTCCAGCTCAGTGGAGTAATTCGTTGGCAAAACAATTCTAAATTATCCAATTATGCGTCTTTACGTCCGTTTATCGCGTCTCGGTTATTTCTAATGTACGAGTATACATGTGTTACGTGTACCTAAATCACAAAAATAGAGTTTGTGACGTGTGGTTTATCAAGTTATAAAGTGAAGTTATGTGGAACGGTGAGTGATAGTGCTGTAAATAATATTTTATCAACGTGCACGCAATATTAGATTTGTTATGTAAAGAATGTGAATAATTACGAGAGAATGTGTTTACCTTTGGATCAAAATATGTCCACCTTTCATATGGGGCAACGACAGTGGAATCTCTACGATAAGTAGCGGTCCAATTAAAAAGGTCTGCATATTTGATGTTTTGCGTGTGGTACGGGCATTCTAGGAAGTATAACATCCACACTTGGTTTGGCGAACGCGTCACGCCTGGATGCGAAAAGTGATCCTTATAGATAATGGCGTCCGCGTCCACCGCTCGTCGTTTGTCATCCGTTAGCGAACATCTGTTTACCGGACAACCATGAAACGCACCAGTTCCAGCCTTCTTGTCCCATTGACCTAGGCCGTTGTAGGCCAAAATTACTTTCTCTGGACTATCATATCCTTAAAAATCAATCAGGAATTATTACAACAACGTTAAAGGATATAAATTGGAAAATTATTACTTACCTTCAAAATCATCAGGTAAATACATCAACTGCTCCAACACTCTATCCCCAGGATCATTGTACGGGAAAAGTTTGTGCGGTCCGGGTGTTTTCTCCGGAAACTCCGTGCCTCCGCTGAAATACCAATGGCGTTTCCCCGGCGGCACATCCTCCGCTTGAGGCAGGCCATGCTTGCCGTGAGAATCGCCCGGTTCCGGGTCCCACGACTCGGTGGCGTCGTAGATTGACTGCGGGGACGCGCCGTCGCTGCCGAACGTGTACGGATCGACCGCCGCCAGAAAGCTGCGATGGTGGTAAATGACGAGGACGAGCAGCACGCCTCCGCAGCACAGCAGACACAGGAAGAACCTGCGCACCGACAGTCGCGGAGGCATTACGGACTTCTCGATGTTGACATCAACATCGTCTGCGAGGAACGAAATAAATATATATTCATAAATATGGAGAATGTAGATAAAAAAAATGCATAAAGTTGACATTGTGTGTGTGTTGAATTACTCTATAGATTTTTCGAATTCACGCGAAAGTGCCATTGAAAACACGGTCATTATCGCGTGTAGTTAGTTAAAATATAGTTCTTCACATGCGGCGTGTATTTATTATTGATCCTCTCGGTGTGTTTAATATTAATGCTTGATTGATTTGTCGACACTGCTGTGTTTATGTTTTCAGCGGCAAATCTGTTTGTTTTTACTGCCGAGACTTTTGTTATTGCCATCATAATTACGTATGGGTAAATAGATAGAGCACTTATCATCTGCATAAAACCCAGATAAAAAAAAACATTTTTATTCGTTTTTGATTCGTGGTATTCATTGTTATCCGGACGGTGCGGTTTGTTATTTTGGTTGCCTACTAAAACTTTCAGAGATTTGGTTATTTTTATATTCTCGTAACCACAAATATCCGTCGTAAATAAATGATTGATAAATAGATATTGAGGATTCTAATAACGTATTGGTAATTGAGCCACGTGTTCATTGCACGTGGCCTTGGTTGATGGGCTATATTGGTAAAGCACTTGTTACAGTTCTGCCTTTCCAAGTGCGTTCCACTTTTCCTGTATGAGTACAAACAACATAATGCATTTTAACGCCACCGCTATTAGTGTAATGCTCAACTGAAAATAGATTTTCAATGAGAGTAGACAAATTTTTCGCCATGCTTGTATTATGGTAAAATTTTATAAAAACAAAGCATGTTTCGGTATAATTTATTGAATTATTATCAACAGCAATCAAAAGGAAATTCTCCGGGACATAAAAATTTAAATCTTTAAATTTTATTATTTCCGCTATTAAATTGCTTCATTGTTTGGGACTGGTTCGGTGTTTAGGTGTGGATTAATTTAACATCGCTGCTAAAATTTAACGCGATGGGCGTGTATCACAACACAACTGTAACGTGTGCAGTCGTATCGTGTTTTTTTTTACGCCTTCAAAGTATCGTTTTTCCATTATATTTTTATGAATAGATTTTGTTTACGAGAATTTATGCTTACTGCAACGTAATTCTCGGTCCGTACTACGTTTTATATGCGTTTTAAAGTGACCAGAACTAATTTTCAACAACGTTATGCTTTGTTCGTGAAAAAAAAATCCGCACTGATAAACCGCCTCATTAAATTAGCATCTATCTTAAACGAGCGTGTCTACCACCGCAAAGAAAGTAACGCGAGCATGATGCATGTGAACATGGTTTTGATAACGTCGAAAGCGGGGCGAATGATCAAACAATGCCTTATTGAATAAGGTCGATATTTTAGCGGACAACACGAATACGTAATCAGAAATTCAAGTAGTGTCAAAAAACGTGTGAACTTGTCGGAACAATGTAAAAAGAAAATATTGACTTGCCTTTTCTTTCACTGTAACTTTCGGTATCCAGGAATAGAATATTGAACAGTTTCAAAGTGAAATTACGAATATTACGCGCAACTAATATGCAAATTTCGAGGCGTAGACATATTTGCCGGTTTCTAGATAAGCGCACCTTATTTTTTAAATATATATTTAGTTAGTTACGTGGTTGATGAATAATGAAATGGAAAACCTCGTCAGTAGGCGCTCATATTTTCGGTTATTACCTCTTTATTATTTAGCCACTGAGATCAAAAGCACGCAAAGTGGAGCGACAGCGAGAGTAATAAAATTTAAAAATATATAAATACAATTGGGACACCGGTTTACATTTTTTACCTATTAAATTTGATATAATATAATAATAGCTGTTGGCCAACTCAAGCAATAACAAAATACGTGTTTCATGCTTTCATTTAAATTTCTAAACTTCATAATTTATAGTTAACAATTTCAGTCAACATTGTCAAGAATAGTGATAATGCGTAGAATAATTATTTATTCATTTCAGTTTTCTCACAGTCTAGATGCTTCTGGTACTGGCCTTGATTCTGGTTGATAGTGAAACACGTTTTCACATTTGCATGGTGGCGCACTGATTTTGAACGGTCATTACTATGCACCCCTTTTTCTATTACTTCTTACTGTTCCAGCTTTGCACATTCACCCCCTTAGACTGAAAACTGAAATTCACTCGTCACTGCACAACTTGGACACAGTTTTCTAACATTTTAAACTAATTTAATACACCAGCCATTAAATTATGTAACATTATAAATATGCTTCACTTACAATTTACGTATATTAGGTATTATCATGATATTAAGTTGATAAATAGAGCGCACTTCGGATGCTTGCTGTTCTCTCAGACATCGCGCAATGCAAAATAACGAGGCCATCAAAACAAATGTTCTACGATTATGCAGTGGATTTGTTTATAAATCATGTGCAAATAATTAATATTGTTAATCATAGAGTAAACATGAAAAACGTGCGTAAATAGATAGGAAATTGTTACTCACCGGCTGATTAGGTTTCGGGCGGTATGCGGAAGGGTCGACATGATCGCCAGCCGCGAGCCTTGTTGCGCCGCGCGCGCGCCACCGTGCTCTGACAGCATCCCTTTGGAAAATCCATATTCCCGAGTCTCGGGCGGCGACTGCGCGCCGCGCCGGTGGTGGAAAAGTGTGCGCGTTGTGAGCGGCGTGGACGCGTCGACGGCGGCGTTGATACTGTTTCCTTAGCTTACTGGTACGGGTTAACGTGTTATACACTATACGCTAATAATCGTAATCGCAAATGTGCTGATGACAATAATACAACGTGAGCATGAAAATATTTATTTCATAACTAGCTTTAACCCGCGGCTTCGCTCGCGTTGAATCCATCAAATAAATATTAGAAATCATTATACATAGTTGAAACGGATTGATAGAAAGAATGTATATTTCACTGCTTGGCAAGGATTATCTATGTGAAAAAATTACTACATGCAATAAAGTTTTAAATTTTAGATGGAATGCTAGATGGCGTTAAAGTAGTCAATTAGCCCGATGCAGAGGTATTATTGGCTAAACAATTTCTTTATTTTATTTAAAAAATGTTTTTTTTTTATTAAATAAAAAAGTAGCCTATAACCATTCCGGGATCATCGGGGACCACTAAGAATATGTGTACGGATTTGATGTTGACGTAGCTGTCGGTAATACAGTGTGATGGTACTATAGTACTTAGGTGTGAGCTTCATTGCTGGAATGCTAGATGGCGTTAAAGTAGTCAAATAACCAGATGCAGAGGTGTTAGTGACTAAACAATTTCTTTATTTTAATTTAAAAAATAGTTATTTTTATTAAATAAAAAGTAGCCTATAACCTATCGGGGACCACTAAGAATATGTGTACAAATTTTCATGATGATCTGTTAAGTAGTTTTTGCGTGAAAGCACGATAAACTTCAGGACATACGCATTTATAATATTAGTAAGGATTAATTATTTTAGGTTACAAGTTACTCCACCTTGCGGCAGTAGCTCACAACGCATTTTATGGATCATGACGTCATAATTAGTTTATTATTGTTTTCCTAAATATGTACATACACTATCTACATTATATAATCGTAATCGTAAATGTGCTTATGACAATAATACAACATGTGCTAGAAAATGTTTATTTAAAAATTAATTATTTTAGATTACAAGTTACACCACCTTGCGGCAGTAGCGCACAACGCATTTTATGGATTATGACGTCATAATTTATTTATTATTAATATTTCTCTAAATATGTACATTAAGGATCTAATTGAATTCTTGTTGTGTTGTTAATCCCATCTCGACTTTCTTTTCTTGAATGTTTCCTCCCCGTCGGCCGTGTAGGTGGAGTAATAACCCCTGTCGGCCCACTCGCTTCGCATGTAGGCAATGTAGGCGGAACAGCCAATGAATGCGGTTAAGCCGATCGCCATCACTACCATGTTCTAGAACAAATCAATGCATAAAACAATGACCCAAATTAATTCAACGCGTAGTAACATTTTATTACACAGATAAACTTTAAATATATAATTTATAGCGATTTTAATGCTGCTATTGATAACAGTTGTATGAAATGCTTTCGAATATAATCGCGTTTGTTTGGAGTGTACATTATTATGTAGCGGTGTGTACTAGTGTGGGGTGCTTACAGGTTTTGCATACAATTCGAAGTTAACGACGCGAAAAACTCTTGACGTTTTCATGGATCGGATGCCATCGCCGGGCTGGTGCTTATCCGGTACATTTTTCTCGTTTTTTTCACTCATAATTTGCCTTTTGGAAGTGATGATATTTGTAAGAGTTAAATGCTTAGTAGGGAATTACAGGTTAACTGCTTCGGCTCCCATCGGTGTGTCGTCGACTTTCAAACAGTTTTGAATCATTCGCATACGCGTACCCAACAGAGGTCTGCAGTTCTGCTATGCAAACCGTTGGTGGTATTGGGAGTTTGAAACATCACCAACAGGCGGCGCTAGGTGTATTTAATACGCTGATTATTTTGTCAGTTGTAAGTTTTAAATTTTGAAATTCCCACTTATACAAACTGTGGTTTTACTGCATTTGATAAAATCATTTTATCTGCATAAAATTGTAAATATAGATTTTTTTATCATTTCTATAAATATCATTTGTGATTATCTTACGAAAAGTCAACAATAATTGCATTTATTCGGCTTGAACAGTAGGTACACGGTGCGCAGCCATTTGAACACTTAGAAACCTTGGATAACCAATCTTCATATTTAACAGATTACGATGGAAATTAATTTACATGATATTTATTTACATTGGCGACATTACAATATCGCTTACAAACGTAAATAGCGCAAAAGCGGTGGGTCTCCGCCGGCCCCATAAATCACGCGAAAAGTGCTTGAAAGCCGCCCCCAAAAGTTGGCAAGTTTTGTCATTTTCGTAAATTTACTGTGGAAATTGCGCATTATTTTGAAATCGTTTGCGCTATTTTAATTCCGCACTGGAATTCGACCGGTTTGTTCTTATCTCTTATTGTCAGGTGATTCGCGTACGATAGTAGTGTGTAGTTTTGTTCTATATACGCGACCGTGTGATGGCGTTCCGTGTACCGTTTGCTCACGCTGCACGAATAAAAATTAGTTTCATCGTATGCGACGGATGGTTCGCACGCGGTCGTCGCGATTCTCCTTTCTTAGGATTTAATTCGGTAACGCGTATTACTTTCGGTGTTCTTAGTGATTATTTTTGCTTATTGTGTTTCGATAATGATTTATCGCTTATAAGATGTTCGCGAAATACAAGTATTGTGTATTTGTTCGTGAGCGGGGTGCCGACGGATGCCGTTTACGATGGAAGTTTTACAATACTAACCAGTAAGTAAATAAAATAATATTCTCAACCGCATTGATCGATTCTATTTCGGCCGTTTGTTTTTCTTTATTATCATATTTTCGTAGTGTTTTATAGATTATTATATTATATATGTTATATATGTGTTGTCACTTCAAGCGAAGCGATTGTTATTTCTTATCTTTTGACTAAAATAAAAAAATTGAAATTTTTAGGGCCCAAAGACTAAAATAAGTTTTAATTTTTATCTTATCGAGAATTTTCCAATCTTTCTTATTCTTCAATCTGTTGGTCGTTATCGCTTTTAGTTTAAAAGGTGTGCACTATTCAGGTTTATTGACTTAAATATGTCAAGTACGTTGATTTTTCTATGTTTATTTAGTTATATTGCAATTAATTGCAATTGTAGGTATAGTTGAGTTTCATTCGGTGGCGGTGAAAGTGACTCCCATTCAGGGCACCGTACGCGGGCAGCGGTAGAAGAAGTGACTCGTATTTAGGGCACCGTACGAGAGTAGCGGTAGAAGTGACTCGTGTTTAGGGCACCGTACGAGAGTAGCGGTAGAATTGACTCGTATTCAGGGCACCGTACAAAGGGAGCGGTAAAAGTGACTCGTGTTCATGGCACCGTACGAGGGTAGTGGTAGAAGTGACTCGTATTCAGGGCACCGTACGAGGGTAGCGGTAGAAGTGACTCGTATTCAGGGCACCGTACAAGGGGAGCGGTAGAAGTGAGTCGTGTTCGTGGCACCGTACGATGGTAGCGGTAGAAGTGACTCATATTCATATAGCGAACTTTCCAATCTTCCATAATCTATAATTTTCTGGTCGCTATTTCTATTAGTTTGGAAGATATTCACTGTCGAAAATCGTGGAAATATATTATCAAGCCCATTTGTCCATTTTTTTGTGAATTAAAATTTCAACTCTTAAATTTCGTATTTAACTAGCTTATTGGATAGAGAATTGTCGGTAGATAAAGTACCTGCGACTCGTTCCTTTATATTCGCAATTCAAATAAATCGTCAAAAATTGAAAAATTGCGTTTTTGGACCTTTTACTGTAGGAAATATAACTATTTTTATCTGATAGAGAATTTTCCAATCTTTCATAATCAGCAATTCGTTGGTTGTTAAAATTATCAACCCCGCGGCAATTTTTTCTTAAGAATTAAAATTTCATCTCTCTGGTTTCCGTTAAAACTATCCTATCTTATAGAGAATAGTCCGTAGATTAAGACGCTGCGATCAGATCCTAATTATCTCTCTTAGTTTACGAGATATTCGCGATTGAATATAATGGGCAAAAATTGAAAAATGTCACTTTTGAGTACTTTTACCTCATAAAATTTTATTCTATCCGGTACGTATTTCTAATATTGCGAAATCAGTTTTATTGTTAATACCAAATTTTCGTGTGCTCTGTGGCGCGATTAGTTTCAGTTGAAATTAATGTTATGTTTTCTTTAATTTTCTCTAACGAGTATATTCCGTATTTGCATGTACATTTTAATGATAATTAATAGCACCCGGGGAAATGATTTTAATAATTATTATACATTATAATATGTAATTATTTAATGATTTTTATTCCGTGTTCCAGATCTATTTTACTTCTGAGGAAAGGTTGCCTAGTCACATGGACTGCATTCCAACACACTCAAGGTTTCAGTAGTACACCGGTACTCGCCGCCATTGAACTAATAAAACGATTCGAAGCCATCAACATCCGGGGGAAACTGATACTACTCGACCGGATCTGATGTACCTACAGCCTCTTCGAACTTATCAAGGGTAAAAGCCAGGATGATCTTGAATGCAACATGATTGAAGGTTTGGTTCAAACTACAATGCCTCATCAAGATATCACAAATCTTAGAGTAAGTGATGCTAAACAATAACAAACAAAACAAAGACATTAATTTAATGTGCATATTTTAGGAAACACTCCATCAAGGAAAGATCTATGGTGGTAAACGGTCTGTATTTTGCGTTTCTCAGGCTTGATTAGATTTCTGTTTGCTTCAGATAAGAGTGCAAGAGTGGTCTAATCTAAAGCAGTACCGGCCTTAGGGCATGGCGCGGTTGGACGACCTCCCAGGGGCGCCGACTCGCACTTGGCCGGTTTTTTCGTATGGGTTTGATTTGCAGTTAGGGGGCGCCGTAGAAATCTCGCCCAGGGCGCTGGTAGTGCTAAAACCGGCACTGACTGTAAGTGCGGCATAATTTTCTTAGATGCGGAATTTCATTCTGTATCTCCCTGTATCGACATTTATTTCGAGAAAATTTCGTAACGCGAGTTATAATGATAGTTGTGTGTATACGCACTTGTACTCGTTGCGCTAGGAATTGTAGTTTTTTTATTATAACACGCGAACGCGGTCTTAAACATAGCTCACAATAATTTTCCTAGATGCGGAATTTAATTCTTTATTTCCCTGTATCGAAATTTATTGCGAGAAAATTCCGTAACGCGAGTAATAATGATAGTTATGTGTATACGCACTTGTACTCTTTGCGCTAGGAATTGTAGTTTTTTATGATAATACGCGAACGCGGTCTTAAACATAGCTCACAATAATTTTCCTAGATGCGGAATTTAATTCTTCATTTCCCTGTATCGAAATTTATTGCGAGAAAATTCCGTAACGCGAGTTATAATGATAGTTGTGTGTATACGCACTTGTACTCGTTGCGCCAGGAATTGTAGTTTTTTTATTATAACACGCGAACGCGGTTTTAAACTTAGTTCGGTATAATTTTCATAGATGCGAAATTTAATTCTTTATTTCCCTGTATCGAAATTGTATGTAAATAATTTTTTGTCGCGTTCAAGGAACGTATCGCGCAAAATTGATAGTGACCTCGTGTTGTCGCTGGTAGCTGTGTCGCTGTGTGCAGTTTAGCGCACATGCAGTTCCATTCCGATCGTCGTATGTAGCGCGCGTGTCCATCGCCACTATTTCTGTTTCTTCATCATAATTAAGTCAATTGACTTATATTCCTTAAAAAAAAATGACATTGTTGTGGTACGAGTGTTTATCAATCGCGGATTCATTTTCGGTTTACCTTTGTACGTGCGTGTGTCCGTCGGCATACGGTTATATTTTCGCACATAAGAATATATTGAATTTATAATTAATTCGTGCAACTCAAGTGCGCAGGGACGTAGTTTGTGAGGGCCCAAACCATGGAGTTTGCAATATCTAAAGCGGAAGTGTTGGAGATGCGCGTATTTTAATGTAAGTCTTCACTGCCGCAGAATTTGCGTGCTGTTGATATTTTTTTATTTAACAAAATGTGCCTGTTGTTAAATACTGTCAATAAAACATTATGTAAAATTATAATCTCATTCGTATTTCTTTGTGGTATCCTCTTTGTCGTTTTCAGTTTTAAATAATATGGCATATAAATCGGATGTGTGTGCAGTCGGTAAAACATAAATTGTGGCTTGAATTGTGTTGTTGTTTTTAAAACATGTTAAAAGTAGAAACATAAATAGAAGAATCAAATATCAATGATAAAAGCACTCGGTGGTCGAGTGGAGACGTGCACCTGCTGGCATGCTAGCATACACGGATCGAATCTCAGGTATAGAAAGCATTTTTCTCAAATATAAAAATATCAGGTGCAATTTGGGTTGCATATATGAATTGCAACGAAATATAAGAGAAATTGAAATACAAGTGAAGGCAATAAGTGAAGTAAGCAAGTAAGTGGAGGAGCAGAGAGCAGAGAACAGAGAAAAAATAGGAGAACATGGAGAAGGAAGTAGTAGCAGAGAAGAGTAGAAAAGAGGAGGAGACAGAAGAAAGAGAGAATATAGGGGTGACGGAATTTTTAAATTTTTTGGCACGTGTCGTTATAAAACAGCACACTGCTTCGATTCGTCCATTGCTCCCGGCCCAACCTACAGCTACGATGTCTCTGCGCTTCATCCCCGGAATTATCAGGCATATCAACAATTTTTATGGTGGGGATCACCCCCAGAGAAAGGGAACTCCTTATAAGGACAATCCTTATAAGGTCTTGTTCAAATATTTATAAGTTTTAAGTCGTCTCAAGAGAGGCGACACTTAAAAATATTCTTTCAAGTTCTGATCTGTAGCTGAAATGAAATAAGGAGCACACAAATCACACGGGATACCTTAACAATTTTTATAGTGGTGATCATCCCCTGAGAGAGGGAACTCTCTTAGAAACCTGTTCCTGAAATGATAGAAGGCGAACACACAAATCAAAGAAGTCAATATATCTTACTATATCTTTATTAATAATAGAATACTAGTTTAGATTTTACAAGTCAACAAAATACATGTCGCCATATTGAAACAGGACTTACGACCTGCTTAGCCGCGCACATGCCAGCAAATACTACTTCATAAAGTTCTACCGGGATAATGAAATTAGTAAATAGCTAATTTTCTAGGTGATTGAAAATGGAAACAAATATACTGGGGGTTACAAAAGGAAAATTTAAAGTGCAAACAAAAATCTCTCAACACTACCAATATCATTCGTTTTTCACCCGAGGCTCCGGGAAACTGATATACAGGGTGTCACAAAAAGAAAATTCAAGGAGCAATGAGGAAAACACTAAAAACAACAGTTGAAGCAAAATTTTCACGGGGACAAAGGAAAATAAATGAACAGGGTGTTTCAGAAAGAAAATCTCAAATTCAAGACAGAGAACACTCAAAACTCACAAATACAGGCGATTTTCTACGTAGTATTAGGAAAACTAATATACAGGGTGACAAAAAGAAAATTTTAGAAACTACAAAGGGAGTCAATATTCACAACATTAAGACGGAAATTTACAAATACACAACAATATTTTAATACAAAATTAAAGATTTTTCCAAAAATCAACGAGAAATTGAGCAAACAAGTGATACGAAAATAAAACACATTTCACATTTTAATATATTGTGTATATATTTATTAATTGATGATAGCATCAACTGCACAAAGTAACCGACCGGTGAAGTATCATCATAAATTGATAGAATATCCGGCGGAAAACATCTAAATTAACAGACGGCAAGCGACGGCGCGTAGCAATACAGTCGGTAAATACGATAAAAATAACTATTTCTTTGTAAATATTAAGATGTACGGAGACTACAAAAACGAAAAACTATTCAACGTACAAGATTTTACTAGGTCAACAAGAAACTTCTTAATTTAATGATGCTAAGGAGTGTAAATCGATAAAAAACGATCACGAGTTCAGCGAAAAGATGACCGAGCCGACGGCCGACGGCCAAGTGAGCGTGGTCGATCACATGAATATTGGCAATTTTACTAATCTTCAGATACTTTTTTAAAACAGTGTTTGTAAAAATTACAGGACTAAGAATTCAGATAAAATGCTACCATGCGTTTGTAATTTGCAAAATAATACATGCAAATTTAATATCACTTAAATGAAATAATTAATTGGTATTAAACCGCCTAAACTTTCCGTAAAAAAATTAATTACACACCTACCTATGCATTGATAAGGAAATTTTATATCCTGGAATATATTCTATCAACTGAAAATACACGCACAGATTAATGGACACTTATACCTTATTTAAGGAGACTCTAACGGTCACAAATCATTAAACAAAACAGGCACACATGCACTGCGAAAATTTTACTGATGGTCGAAAAAGTACACGACAATTAATCCAATTATAACCTCAACATGCAAGGCGATTAGAGAGACACACTCGCGGACCACGCGGTGAAACGACTGCCGTGTGCGCTGCGCGTAGTCAGGTAAAAGGCGGATATGCAACGATATCACGCGGCAGTCGAACAAAAAAATTGTTTATACACAAATACACATTTGCTTTGGGATGTAATAAGATTGAGAAAAACAGGAATTTAGTTTACCATTACAAATAAATAATTTATTGTCTTCGTAAACGTTTACACCTCCCCTAATTTAAATATTCACTGAAAGAAAGAGTACTATTAAAATCTGAAAAATAACAGGTGAAAAAGATTTATAACAAAAAAATGCATGAAGAGGTACGGCTTCTTTTTCCCAGCTTTTTTTAATAAGTTAGTGGGAAATAAGCGATGTGAAATTTTAGGGATGAAAGAATAATTAATAACAAAAAAATGGCAAAGGGCTGCGTCATGTTTTGACGTGATAACGTCTTTAAAATCGTTTTAGTCGGGTGACTGTTCAGAAACTGTGTCGCGAGGCCTCACGAGGCCGATCGCAGGTATACCCCCCTCTCGTTATAACCTTAGGCTCCCCGCACACTACAAACTTTTTATCGGCCGATGCGGGGAGCCTAACAGTAAAACAAAATGTGAAGTGCAAGTGAAGTGTTACAACAATTGCAACAAACAAAACTTATATCACCAATAAGACGTTATCACGTAAACATCTCGATCGTAAACCTACTTTACAAACAACCATTTTTTTTTTTAGGTTTTCGGTAACGAGTATCTTTTAAATTATTAGCGCAAGCGACAAACGGATTGAATATAATGAAAGTTTGGAAAATTCTCTATCAGGTAAAAATATATAACAATTTAATTTCCTTGGCTAAAAGGTCCAAAAACAATTTATATTTTATGAATACGACTCACTTCTTCAGCTAACCTTGTACGGTGCCCTGAACCGAGTCACTTCTACCGCTACCATTGTACGGTGCCCTGACCGCGAGTCTCTTTTACCGCTACCCTCGTACTATGCCCTGAACCGAGTCACTTCTACCGCTACCTTTGTACGGTGTCCTGAACGGAGTTACTTCTACCGCTACCTTTGTACGGTGCCCTAACCGCGAGTCACTTCTACCGCTACCTTCGTAAGATGCCCTGAACAGGTGTCACTTCTACCGCTAAAAATTTTTGCTGACACAATAAAAATATAAAAATCCTGTGAATTAAGTAATATCGATAGAATCCAAGAGAATTTAAACTAATACCAGTTTCTCACTGATCAAATAAAATCAATACTATAAGTAAAGTGATAAATAAATACAATACTAGTATGAATATTTTTCTGATATTCTAATTCTCTTTCCGACACGTTTTCCAGATACGCCACAAACAAGGCAAAATGTGCCGGCCGACGGCATCTCATACACACGCGTGAAAGTAAATTTAAATCGTCTTTTACAAATATATTACTTTCAATAATTGATTGTCAAATTACCAAAACACGCCAAAGCGACTGCATAATTATGAAATCAAAAAAAAATTGAAAGCTGGGAAAATACGCGCAATTAAACCAACGATTGAAAAGGGTAACTCCACAGACTGCAGCGAAACCAAAAATGTATCCGACGGCACGCGTCACTTTTGAAACAATTTTGAGTGTTCTTTACAAAGTAGGGTATCGGGTAATTGCAGAAACAACTGATACAGAAAAAACACGTGTGTTAGAACTCACACTATGCTGCACACTTATTTAGTCTGTTCCGTCGAATAACGGACTTGAATGAAAAACGCAATTTTGACCGACAATATACACGTGAAATTCTGTCATGTGCTCGTGGAGAGACTTTAATTATACTTACTCGGAATTATCAATAGGACAGATATTTCTGATTCCAATCCTCTGCGCAATAATCCAATAGCCGTCGGACCACTAATTCACAAGTAAACACATGTGCTTTATAATAATTTCACGCGTAACTCATCGTTAGCAAAACACTGTAGACGACTATTGTCAATAACTGCTAATGTATACCGATATTACTCGATGAAATGTAATGTAATTAATTTAATCGAAATGCACGGAAGAATGATGTCAAGCCGCGTGCAAATATGAACAGACTGAACGTTCGAACGTTCGTAGCACGAGCGCAGGTATGAAACTGGTTCAAAGTGATAAAAAAGTTGTTTGTACACAAACGCCGATAAGCGTGTAGAGTTGAAAACAGAAAATTCTGATCGGTTGGTGAAATACAATTTATATATTGTTGAAAAGACGCATGGAACAAGAATATATACGGCCATACTTTATTTATTAAACTGAAATTTCCCCTGCCAAGTAAATAGCTTTAATCACAATGACCTCACGACGCAATTTCGAATTCTATGGACAATTGTTTGTGCAGCTTGTCGTTAAGCAACATCGACAAGTGGTTGCCTTCATAAGTCTCCACGCGGACGGCCTTTTCGCACAAGGCACTAAGGTTGTAATCTTCGGAGATGTTCTTGATCACCACCACCGTAGGTTTATATAATAGCACATCAGATGCTAATTTATCATTCTGCGGTCGTGTCTGATACGCCGGGATGCTCATCATACGCGACTCGAAACTAAACATCAAACTCCTAATCTGATCAACCAAAGCAATTTCCGTGTGATCAAAATATTTTGCCATCATTAGTTCCACGCGTTCGGCGTAGTTCTTTCCTTGAAGGAGAGTTTCCTGAAATATGCACATTAAATTATTTTCTTTGGTCTATTTGTTATTGCTTAGCATCACTTACTCTAAGGTTTGTGATATCTTGATGAGGCATTGTAGTTTGCACCAAACCTTCAATCATGTTGCATTCAAGATCATCCTGACTTTTACCCTTGATAAGTTCGAAGAGGCTGTACATCAAATCCGGTGCCCCATCGAGTAATATCAGTTTCCCCCGGATGTTGATGGCTTCGAAACGTTTCATTAGTTCAATGGCGGCAAAGTTACCTATTGAATGTGCCAGGAATTTAAATGACTTGAACGATTTGATCTCGTCTTTCAGAGCCTGTAAAAGAATATTATCGATTTAATTTTACGTTTTATTCAAATGAAAGTTGTACTCACTTTGAATAAATAATCAACAATAACGTCCACGTTCTTCTGTTGTAATGTGATGCTGTCATAACTAATCACCTTCATATGTGTCTTCATTTTATTTGACATAATCTCAAAGGCTCTGTAGTCCGCATCAACGCCAGGGAATGCAAGAATAAAATCACCTTTACATTTGCTCGCGTCCTGATTAAAGTCTACAATTTGCTCTTTGGACGTAGCTAACTGTATGCCTGGAATCAACATTGTTAATTCCACTGAGTTTGTATTAACCATAGCCGCATCCGGTTTTTCTGAACTTCGCGAGCTCATCTCCTCCAGTTTAGCAAAAGTAAGTGATCTTAAATCGTTTGGCGTTAGAGATACTTCAAAGTCACGCTCCAGCGTCTGCTTGATCTCGACGGCCATCATAGAGTCCATACCTAGTTCAGGTAAGCAGGTATGCGGACTAACTGATTTAACGTCCTGTACACCAAGAATACGACATACTGCTTCAATGGGTGAGTCTGCAGAACGCTTGTTAAACTTCTCGGCGACGACAATACTTGAGACAATCGGACAGCGCGACAGAAGAAGTTCGTCAAACACCGCAAGGCAGTTCCCAACCTTTTGTTGCAACGTGCCACCGATAGCAATTTCGTTGTGCTCCTTTTGAAGAGCCTCCAGAAGACCTACGTCACCAATTGCTCCCCATTGTACAGCAAGCGCCGGAAAACCGGCTGCGTGCCGTTGTTCACAGATGCGCTCCATGACGGAATTGGAATAACCGTAATTAGTTTGACCGCCATTACCGCGTCCGCAAGATACCGACGAGAATACTACAAATGTGCTCATCTTCGGACAAAGTTGACGAGTTATCTTGTCTAAATGTTCGGTGAGAATGGCCTTAGGTTCCATTGAAACTTTCATTGTTTCAATAGTCTGATGCTCAAAAATAGCATCTTTTAAGACTACAGCCAAGTTAAATATACCATCAATTGGGGCTATTGCATGAATGTCCTTAAGTGCTTTGTAACATGTATCATAATCAATTATATTTTCCATTAAAATTGTAACTTTCACTCCGTACGCTTGCCAAATACTGAAGAAATATTTTAGAATCAGTAAAATCCAGTACGATTATTGCAAAATTTCAACTTACGCTATCCGGTAACGCTGATAACCGGTTGTAATGCCAGTCCTAGAAGAGAGAATAATATGTTTTGCTCCTCGGACAACTAACCAATCGGCCAGCTCCAAGCCAAAACCTCCCAACCCACCAAAAAGAATGTAAGATTTGCTTGGATCGCAGTAATACCTAGAAAAAACAATTGTTTATGAACTAAACAACGTTACATTTCAAAATTTTACTAACCTTGGTAAAACTTTATGCTCCTTTTCGTGATCTATACGAATCATCACTTTACCAATATGTTTACCGGTACTCAAGTATTTAAATGCCTTGTCCAACTCATCCATTTCGAATATCGTCCTTGGCAAGGGCTTAATGTAGCCATCCCGGAATGCATTTGCCCACAGCGTGTGCAACACGCCGCTGCAACTTTGATCCATCAAGCACGAATCCAACATTACTCCAATATGTCTACATTCCCGCATAGCCAAATCCAAACAGAGGCCATTGTTTTTGTCTAGATCGTACTTGCCGATTTCAACGAATGAGCCACCATGTGCGAGACACTGTACAGACGCCAACAACTTTTCCTCGGCCAATGAATTTAAAACGATATCAACACCTCGTCCATTTGTTTCGCGCATAATCATCTCTTTGAAGCTAGTGTCGCGTGAAGAACCAATATGACTCGATTTGATGTGAGGATAATGCTCTCGTAGAAAATCTCTCTTCTCTTGAGTACCGACTGTCACGAAGATATCGCAGTTGAAGTAAGAGCAGACATTCAATGCTGATAAACCTACGCCCCCAGTACCAGAATGAATAAGAATTGATTGTCCTTTTTGTAGATCAGCTCTCTAAATGTTTATAGAAGTTGTAATAAATTGTAAGATAAACAAAAATAAAATAAAAGTTACATGAATCAAGCCGAACATAACGGTACTGTAGACTACAAGAACAGTCGCCGCGTCCTCCATACTTAAATGGTCGGGAATTTCTAGCATGTAATGACAATCTTGCGCTAAGTTTGAAATACCTCCGGCACCCATGGAACAAACTCGTTTACCCCTAAAACAAGAACAATTTATACAACTGGGAACAGAAATTGTTAAAATGTAATTTACTTATTGTCATAACCGACATATTCAAAGCCTTGCAAACGATCTTGGATTAAACGATCAGTCGTAATTGCTTCAGGTGATAGTTTGCCGGAAGCAAGCATCAAATCACGGAAATTTAGTGCGGCGTACATAATCTGAACAAAAATAATAAACATATGCAAAATCTTTATTAAAACATTTTCAAAATTGCTAATTTGCCACATACCTTCATTTTAGCTTGGTGTTCTGGTCGGATTGGTCCTTGAGTCCAACACAACGTTGATAAATCACCTGGGTTCAATGTCTTAGCAAACCAATGATGTGATAACACCTTATCCGAATCGGATAATAACAAATGTCGGTAGGTTCCCCATTGCCCATCCATGAATACATTGATTTTCATTTGTTTATTGAGCTGTTTTTGAACCGCATCATTGGCGTTATTGTTTTCATCAAACTGTACCGATTTATCTTGAAGGAAGATGCAGCTAACCTTGTCACTACCTGGTTCCTTATTTAAACAATTCGTAAAACCTAATATTCCGTTTTTGTAGTTGTTTTGTGCAACAAGAACTACACCCGCGTCAGTTTTCATTGCGTCTTGAGCAGCCCATAGCCAACTCATATCTTCTGAGTTGGAAATGTCTATGGTTATTGTTCTAGATGCGGCCGGAAGTCGTTTCCGTAAAAAGTACACAATCGGATATTTAGTACTGTTTTCTTCAAGAATAATGGTGTGTTTTGTAAGGACCACCAAAGATTCTGGGAATGATTGCTCTTTAGAACAGAAACACATCATAAATCCATCGGGAATCAAATACTTGTCAATGTCATCGAATAATGTTTCACACGGCTGCTTACAAACCAACAAAAGTTTTGGTTCTGTTAATTCAGCTTCAATTTTGCAATTAGGTACTTCAAGACCTTCCTTCTTGGTAATGATAGTCATATCAGGAATCACAAGAGGAAGATCTTCTATGGCGTTGCAAATTTGATTTGTGATTACCGAGTCTTCACTTTCATCGTCTCCTACCAGTTCAGCGACTGTAAAACTCACGGTTTGCTTAGATTCAAGCAGTAATTGAATATTTATCCTAACCGAAGTAGCAAGATTCGTGGTGTAGTCATTTGGAACAAACTGATAATTCTCTAATACGGGTACCAGACGTTCCTTTCTTCGGGCAATTGACTTAGCATTCAGTCCACGCATTTCGATGTATTTGGAGCGTACCGTCATGCAGTCTTTGAAGAAACGAACCGTGACCAATTTATCCTCCTTGGCATTGACATAATCCATATGATTTTGTGCCCGAAGCACCAAACGTTCAAGTCCTACTGGCACGTAGAGACTTCTTGTGTCCTGATTCAAAATACACACTTGCATCATGTTATCCAGGAAAGTAACCCAGTTGTTGTCCCATTTAATGGTAGCAACGGTGGGGGTCACTTCCTCTATTGCACGGAACAATCCACTGAAATAATGATTATTACATTTTTACCAAAATAAAAGTTTCAGACATTTACCCGTAATTATATCCTCTCAATCTTAATTCACGATAGGCATCTTTAGCCGTCAGAATATACTGGTCTGCAGTACTATCACGTTGTTCTTCTTCATCAGTAATAAATGCCTCACTGCCTTCTGTTTTTTCGTCGTACCGTTGGATCCTTCCGGTAACAACAGTTGCGCCATTTTCAGACACTTCAAAATTACCATTGTGTTCCACAACTATGTACAATTCCAGATCGATATCAGTAAGCGTACATGCTCTATGGAATCGAAGATTTTCGAAAACAACGCCAAGACCTTGTGAATAAAGACCATTTAAATCGGCGTATAGGTTCCAAACGTGGATAATATAGCCTGTAGCCGGAAATAAGTTCCTATCTGAAAATGAAGAAAACATTTAAAAAACATATCTATTTTGTAATACTGTGTGGATTGCATTACTGTCAATCATGTGACCACGAATGTACGCATGGTCCTTATTAACTGCATTAATAACATCGACGCGCTCTGCTTGGAAGACAACATCTTTTGCCCATCGGATCATATTAATCGGTTTGTGCTTCCACTTGAGCAGGTGACCAAGCATGTCAGTACCGGCACTGACAGGATAATTATTCCGTGGATAAAGCTTGTAAACTTGTGGCTGGAATCCCAATTCGTAGAGTTTGCCAACATTACATAAGAAACTGTCTTCTTTGAGGTCATCACCAAATGTAATAAGGTTGCATTTTTTCTTTAGGTGTGCAGGAATTGTGGCATTGCCCAAAAGTACAATGGTTCCCTTGTAAGAATAAATGGAAGTTGATTTGATCCATTCCTCAATTACTTCTGGTTTAGTGCTTGTGAAAGGTTCCACTGGTAAACAAAGCCCTTTAAATGCTTGTAAGAGTACAACCTTAGGATCACCTTTGTTTTGTTCTAGAATACTTTTCAGCAGCGGAATTTGTTTAAGATTTTCAATGCATTTGGCTGATGTAAAGTTGCCTATTATCAACTTTATTTTGTCATCTCCTGAATATGGTGCCTTCATAGAAGACCTCACATTCTTACCAACAATTGTATACCCTCGATATAGATGAGTATCAATATTGGTTTTAAATGATTCCTGCAAAAGACCGAGATATTCTACATCTTTACATTTTGCTATTTCATCGTGAATTGTATCCAAAGCAGCTTGCGTTCGGCCACTGTAACAAACCAATCTTGATTTTACAGGTTGAGATCTCTCCGGATTAATTTTAAAATATCTTTCTACAATGGCGTGCGCATTTCCGCCGCCAAAACCAAAACTATTAACACCCGCGTATTTCTTATCTTTCGGGAAAGGTGTCACTTCTGTTAGAACTTTCAATCGTTGTTCCGCCAACGCGGATACACCTTCTCTAGGTTTATCGTAATGAATGTTTGGAGCAATTTGTCCAGTGTTCAACGCGTGCATAACTTTTACCATTGAACACAAACCGGCCGATGGTTCCGTGTGTCCAATGTTGCCTTTTACGGAGCCAATCATAAGCGGGGCTTCCTTGGTCGGTTTGAAGAACTCGTCAATGACAGTGAGTTCTTCTGGATCACCGACCCTGGTGCCCGTTCCGTGTGCCTCTAAGAATCCGATTTCTTTAGGATCCACTTTTCCCTCGGAATAGACTTCTTTCAAAACGGCAAGTTGACCATCAAAAGATGGAAACGTAATGCCTTGCGATTTGAAACCGTCCGCATTGGCTTTCGCGTGAACTAGTTTTGCGTAAATTCGCTTTGCTTCCGGGCGTTTCTGAAGCACCATTGCAACAATAGCTTCAGAGCGAGTATAACCAGTTGCGTCATTATCAAATGGACGACATCCGCCTCCAATATTAAGTACTCCTAATCTAAAATGAGCAAATGTGTACCCGTTTAACACTTATGTATATTATTAAAATAATAAATATAAAACAATACAACTGGATTTCCATACAAAAATCCTACCTTGCAAATTGCAGAGTCAAGTAAGGATCCAAACACAAATTGGTTCCGCCAACTATGGCCTGATCGCATCGTCCTTGACGAATAGCGTTATATGCCGCATCCAAAGCATACATTCCACTACTACATGCTGTGTCCAAATTCATTGCTGGGCCATTCACTTGAAGGCAGTAACTCACCCTCTGTGCATTCATGGAACGGGTGGCACTACAATATCAATCATTACCTTTTTGGCCTTATTATAATAAATTATTTCACAAACCCAGGAATAATATTATTATCCTCCTTGATCCCTTTGTAAAAGCACAATTCATACTCGGAGGCGCAACCGCCGGTAAAGACGCCGGTTTTGGTCCCTTTCAATTCATCCGGATGTATACCTGCATCGAATAGTGCTTGGTATACTTGTTCCAGAAAGATGCGTCCCATAGGATCAGTGTATATTGACTGGAATGCATGGATTCCAAAGCTACCCGGATCGAAAAGTTCGACCTCCCAAAGTCGTCCCCCCAGTTTGGGGATCTCAGGGTGGTCGATCTTTCCGCGTCGTTCGTCCTCATCGCAGAGATTCACTTTGTTCAGCAACTGATCGATGTATTCCTTCGCGGAGCGCGAGTTGGGGAACTGCCCCGACATGCCCGTGATGACGATGTCATCGTCGCTTTCCGTGTTGCAAGGTGACATAATGGCGAATCACTAAACACATTCCTAAATTTTTTGCATTTATATAAGCAGTACGGGGGCTAGTTATGCGCATGTTTAGACAACTAGCAGCAAAAACTGGTGCGCTTTTTTGATTCAATACTTATTGTTTGCATGAAATATTCGCATCATTAATTCCTAAGGTCAAGGGAATTTTTGAGTTCTTACCATGGAACAAAGTTCAAAACGAACGTAAAGTACATTTTACAATAAATTATTTTCGTTTGTTTTTGTAGTATTTACTATTTACGTGTTTATGTGTTTACGTGTTTACCTTCAAAGTTTAAAGAATTTTTAATTAGCAATTTCGGTATTTGCAGCAGGGTGCAATGTACATTATCAAATAAGTATTCAAATATGTATATATTATGCAAGCAATTTGCTTTCCATGAATTTTGTGAGTTTCGTTGTAAATGAAGCATTGTTTGCAAAACATTTTCAGATTTTGCACGAAAGGTTACGCTTTGCATACGTGTTAGTTTCCTGTGAAACTTGTGCTCAGGGTAATATGGGGCATATTTTGAATTTAATTCATTAGAAAATATCGATATTGTGATAGATGAATTGTTGGTTTAAATTTGACGCAAATAAAAGTGAAATTGAAATAATTAAAACTACGCACAAACTAAGCCCAATATTACTATAGTAAAAATGAATATTGATATTTATTGTTGTTATTATGTTAATCTAAATTTATTAAGAAAATAAAATTAAATATTTGTTAAAGGTTTGTGTTGAAAATAAAATGAAAGTGAATAAGTTGCATGTTTACTTTGAAATCTACATCCAATACGAATTTAAATATGAATTGCGATTATATAAGTGTTACACGGCAGTGCAGACGGTAAATTAATTGTCCTTGACCGTGGGGTTCACGCATGTCGCAGACTAATACGTCATGATTGAAAATTTTCCAATGCTACAAGCATTTTATCGTTTTTTAAAAGTCGGAAAGTGGGATTTAATGTTTTTCCAAATGCGAAATTTTCAAAATTACGCTAAATCATGATATTCGATATAGCAGATTCTATGACACAGCTTGAAAATGTATTATGCATAAACTTCATTATTATGTATTACAGAAAAAATCTATATATATAAAATTTGCGTGTCACAGTGTTTGTTTCCATACTCCTCCGAAACGGCTTTACCGATTTTTACCAAATTTTATATGCGTATTCAGTAGGTCTGAGAATCGGCTAACATCTATTTTTCATACCCCTAAGTGATAAGGGTTGTTCACCCTTAAGTTTTTTTTAAATTTTTGGACAAATTCTTTTGTTTTTATTTTTTCTTATAATGTGGAATTAAAAAATACATACAACCCTAAATTTTTAGTTTTTTATCACCAACCCCTATTTCTTTATAGCCATTTTAGTAATTTAATCATTTTTCATCCCGCTCAAAGAAAATTTTTATATGCGTATTCAGTAGGTCTGAGAATCGGTAACTTCATATCTCTAAGTGATAAGGGTTGTTCACCCTTAATTTTTTTTAAATTTTGGTCGAAATTTTTTGTTTTTATTCTTTTAATGTGGCATTAAAATATACATACAACCCTAAATTTTTGGTTTCTTATCACCAACCCCTATTTTTTATAATAAGTAAGTTACTTTTTGTCTACACTAAAATTTATCTAGAAACTTGAAATAATTTATATGGCAAAACAACGTTTGCCCGGTTAACTAGTATTCTATAAAATCTCTCTATACTATGTCCCAGCGCCCTCTTACGGCTATGTAACTGCTATAAATAGTACTTTTTTAAATATACTATACGCTAGTAAAGTATCTACCTTAGCGCCGCCTCGTGGCTTATTTTTTAAATGGTGGGTAAGCTACACCTGTCAAGCTAATGTTTACACTTTCTTATTGAATATATTATCAATAATTAAACATTTAAAAAAAATGTCGACAAAAAAATATTTTTGTTTGTATGCCAATATCATGTTTCTCAGAAACAACTATTTCATCAACTGCAGCATCTGCTGGAGCTGTATTAATTATTGCAGATGAAATTCTTTCCCGTCGTTTTCGCAATCTCTCAGCTCGTAAACCTGCATTAGAATTTCATTTTTTTTTACGTATATTAGAGGAAATATAGTTGGGTGATAAGATTCATTGAGTGGATTGTTAGATTTTTCACCCCCAACAAAATGTGCACTGCAAATTCTGGAATTTTTTCCAGGCTGCCACGGTTTTCCATCACTCCTGCAATCAGAGCTTTACTTATAAAATTGTGACAATAATTGAAATTATTTGTTTGCTATTAAAATTGAATAATCATGTTTAGTGAAAAAGAACTAACTACCCTATTTTTTATAGCCATTTTAGTAATTTATTCACTTTTCATACCGCTTGAAGGAATGAGACTGAAGCCGGTCTTCTTTTTCACTCACACAATAAGACTTCTGTCACACCCTACACAGTTTTCGGCCATCATTATGGTATACGTATCAAGTGTAGTAAGTAACGTTTACAATGGTTAACAACACTTTTGCGATTCATTTTTATATTATAGATTACTATTTTATTCATAATAATAAAATTATTAATTTTAAGTGTATTTGGCACAATTAGTTCAGTTAATTAAATTTTTCATACTGACACACTTATAATAAGTAAGTTACTCTTTGTCTACACTAAAATTTATCTAGAAACTAGAAATAATTTATATGGCAAAACAACGTTTGCCCGGTTAACTAGTATATATATAACATAACATGGTATAATGGTATAACATGGTACTCAAGGTTTCAGATCTCACTATTTAAGAAATAAGCCACGAGGCGGCGCTAAGGTAGATACTTTACTAGCGTATATGCAACCATTTTTACTTCCAGCTGAAAGTTGTTTACCTATAGTTAATCAGCAATAATCACCATAATTCATCAATTATTACATGAAGAGCAACTTGAAACATTAAAAAACAAACCAAAAATGTAAATTAAGTTTAAATATGGGTTAAGTTTCGATGTGCCACCACGTTTAACACATTACAATGCAACGAATATGGTAACTAAACTTTTTTCTTTCAATATCAAATATCAATATTACTCATCAATTGTTTTAATTTTTAGTTTAGTATCCGATTTTTTCTACCCTAATGTGGGAGGAGTAGAAGAACATATATACAATTTAGCACAATGTCTGATTTCAAGGGGTCATAAAGTCATTGTGATTACCCACAGCTATGATAATAGGAAAGGTATCAGATACATGACAAATGGACTAAAAGTTTACTACCTCCCAATAAAAGTCTTCTACAATCAATGTATTCTTCCAACTATGATTGCAAACATTCCATTAATAAGATACATTTATATCAGAGAGAGGATTGAAATAGTCCATGGGCATTCAGCTTTCAGTGCACTTGCACATGAAGCAATGCTAATTGGAAACTTAATGAAGTTAAAGGTACTTTTACATATTATAATTAAGCACTGTGTGTAATTTTGGGCACTGAATTTCAGACTGTATTTACGGATCACAGTCTTTTTGGGTTTGCTGACATGTCTGCTGTTTTGACCAACAAGTTTTTGGAGATTTCTTTGGTCGCATGCACGCATTGCATTTGTGTGTCGCACATCGGTAAAGAGAACACGGTCTTACGGGCGAAAGTTAGTTTTGATCGGGTGTCAGTAATACCGAATGCGGTAGATACATATTCGTTTACTCCACAAGTTCAAATGAGACCGAAAGATTCCAGTAAGAATTATTTTAAAACTTTCACTTACCTTAAAAGTATCCACCAAACAATAAATCAAAATGTTTGTTTCATCATTCCAGTTGTTATAGTAGTAGTATCACGTCTGGTTTATCGCAAGGGCGTCGATTTGATGGCGCAAGTGATGGCGGACATCTGTGTTAGGTATCCCAATGTAAGTTTTCTGATTGGTGGCGATGGTCCCAAACTGTGGCTGCTGCAGGAAATCCGCGAACAGTTCGGTTTGCACGACAGGGTAACATTGCTAGGCGCATTAAAACATTCCGAGGTGACCGACGTTTTAAATCAGGGGCATATCTTCTTGAATACCTCATTGACAGAGGCATTCTGCATGGCTATCGTTGAAGCCGCATCATGCGGGTAAGAATTATACATAAAACAATTCAAAATAAAGTTAGAAATCGAGTTAATATGCAAAATACATATTCTTACCTAGATTGCACGTGGTATCTACACAAGTCGGAGGCATTCCAGAAGTTCTACCAAGTGATATGATATTTTTAACGGAACCCACTGCCGAAGCTTTAATTAAAGGCAAAATTAATTTCAAAATAAAAACCTTAAAATGTTTAATTTAATTGCTCTGTATTTAAAGGTGTTGAAGCTGCAATTGCCAAAATGGAAGCTGGCGATATACCGTGTCCATACGTAAATAACGACCGAGTGCGTTCATATTACAACTGGCTAAACGTAACACAACGAACCGAGGTTGTTTACAATCACATTTTAAGAACTGAATTGAAAAGCCCCGGGGAACAACTCGCTAGGTAACATAACTACATAAAAACTATTATTATTAATCACCTAAACACTCATTTTATTTTAAATTTCTTATAGTTACTTGTCAACGGGGGCTTGGCCATTCCTCCTCGTAGTTACTTTATGTAAAGTTATTTTAATGATACTGGAATACATTTTTCCATCCAAGAACATCGATATTGCTCCAGATTACGATATGGAAGTGATCCTAAAACGAAGAGAAAAGAAAATAAATTAATATTATCAACAATCTATGATAATGTTCAATTTATGCCATAATAAACGTTATATGTGCTGTAAAATTGAATCGGCGCATGTGCAGCAAAATTTACTTTTTCTACTTTAATTGCTTTACAAATCATCTTATGTAAACGCAATCGTTAGGAATTTGTCTAAATTTTTATTTATCAATAATAGGATAGTACAATCTTATTACACATTAAAAGTAAAGTAGAAAAACCACAATTATTATTTATTTCATACATCCCATTCTTTCATCAATTGCTGCTCATATCGCCTTCAGAAATATGGACAAAAATCTGCGTACACTGTGTACAAATATTTAAACTTAAGTATGGCCCATCGAGCAAATGCTAACTCATCGCATGCCGCGAATGCGTGTGGTGTGGTTAATAAGATATCATCATCTAAAGTAACAAAAATTTTGGCGAAATTTACAAATTATTTGAATCGAATGCAAGGATTATTTTTTGTACAAGTTTTCCTCAAGTATAAAATTCCATTAACTTACGCTCTAGCTCTAGAATAGTACAACAATACGCGTTTTGAACTAAATGGGAACCGCGACGGACGAACACGGAAATGAAACAAATAAAACCATGTTGATTACACACCTGGCTTTCCATATTTGTACCTATACAATTACATCGCTCGCGTGCCTGCTATTTCAAACAAAAAAGAAAAAGAAATACGATCGTTACTCAGTTAGATAAATCCGCGACATGTTCTCCTTATATTCATATATGTATAATATTCGAAATAAAATCTCATACTCTCGCCGTACGCGTCCAAACAGAGTCATATCGTGCTCGCAACAGATTCACTCGCCTACTCAGATACTGTGGCCGCCTCGTCGTCTTTACTCTCGCCGGCGGCGGGCGTAGATTTCTTCTCCTCTGGTTTGTCTTTCGCGTCCGTCGTCTTGGCGGGCGTTGTGTCGGCTTCCTTCTCGCCGTTCTCAGTCGCCTCCGACTTGCTGTCTTCTTTGGCGTCGTCACCGTCGCCGTTATTATTCGCCGCCTCATCTTTGCTGTCGTGTGTGTTATTCTCCACCACCGGTGTGGGTTTCTTGTCGGTTTTCTTCTCTACCTTCTTTTCTTCCTTCTCTTCTTTCTCGGTGTCGTTCTTATCACTTTCGTCTGTGTCCATCTTATCAGCGGCTTCTTCTTTGCTGACTTCGTCGCTCACCGGTTCCTCTTCGGAGACACTCGCATTCTTCCGCGGACGTCCTCGTCCTTTTGGCTTGCCGTCCGATTTTGGCGCCGGCGTCTTTTTCTCCTTCTTGGCAGGTGGAGGCGGTATCGCTGGAATAATACCTTTGGCGGCTGATCGTGTACGCCGGCGTCCTTCAATCTCTGGTGCAAGATCCTAAAAACAAATTGTGTTAAAGTTTAAAATTACATGCATTTTTCATGAAATAAAATCTTTTAGTGCAATATTAATTACAAAGATGCATTACCTTTGTTATGGCTTCGCTCTCTTCGCGAGCACGATCTATCGCCCTACCCTTACTGCTCTTTCTGGCTTTTGGCGACTTTTCATTCTGTAAAAAAAATGCGAGATTTAAAACAACTATTCAAAAGTTATGCGACGCGCGCATTTATTTCCCTCCAAAAGTACATAAACAAGAAAGAAATCAAGCGCAGACGTACGTACGACGCCGCACTCAATACAACGATGCGTAGCGAGCGTTGGACGTACGTCGGTGCGCAGTGTAAACGCCGCCAAACCGAAGAATACAACAGACAGCAAGCAAGATAGATGCCAATTGGAAAGTCGATGCGCGTTATTATTACATCAATATGCCCCAAAATGTTAATTAAAACGCCTCGCGTCCGATTTGATATCCTTCGTTGCGTAATTTCACGCAAGATATGCGCGCGTACCGATGCATGTTTGCGCAAAGCGAGCACAACAAAGCACGAAACGGCGCGCGCTATCCAAAAGTCGCGCTGCCGTGCCGACTGCGATGCGCGCGAATTGCGGCTCGCGACGTCGGCGAATATCTCTTGAAATACGTGATTTGAGCACTCACCTGATTGCTTTCCTCGCTGAGCGCGGTCTTGGCGTTCACGGCGTCTGTCTCGGACATTTTAACACGTCTTGGAACACTATGTACGAGGCGCTTTGGATAAGAATTAAGCGCGACTGCGTTCCGGCCCGCTCGTTGTTTATACAGCGCAAATGGCGACCGCGTCGTCACGTGACCGCGCGTTGCACTGCTGACAGCCGCGCGGCGCGTGCAGCGCCAAACTTACACCTTCGGGTGTACTCGGAATGCCAGCATTCTTTTGAATCTTTCGCATTCAAACTCGCTTGGTGTAACGAACTTTGCATTCTTTGCATTTTTTCACTTTCACTAGAATATACACGTAACAGTCATCTCAGGTGTCATTAATATATTCATGATTTATTTCCATTTTTGCATTTTTCATACTTTATAATAATATTCCTGCCAAGTATTACAGAAGTTTCCATCAAAAAATAAACCTCAAATATTATTTGATTCTCCATATTTGATATCCACTTTTCTGGTAATTTTTGGCGAATTCACTCCAAAACACTAACCTCTATAACATGCAGAAAACAAATAAATGAGTTTATAAATACAATTATTTATTAATTATTATATTATCGCCATTTTAATATCGAATTAGTTAATACAATTATTATATGCATGATTTATATATATTTACAAATGAAATAACTACTCTTTTAATATCTATCCTCTAATTCTACTAATGTTTTCCTAAGATTTGTAATTAATCCTAACATATTACCCTTACGCTTCTCTAACCAAACCATCAACTTATCTGGAGGATAAATCTGTGTCTTAATATCAATAATTTTATTTGACTTCTTTTCAATGTCCATTTGCACTGGAAATTGGGAAATTAGTTTACCATCTATTAAAAATTGTATAACCACTCTTAAATATTCATTCATATCTAAAATTTGAATAATTTTAAAGTGGAATACATCCATGTAATGTTTTAGAATATTCTCAGATGTTTCCAGAACATTTTCTACAAGCAATAAAGTAAAATTAGTCCTAGAATTGATTAATGAATATTAATATCAATAAAATTACCTCCATATTTCTGTTTTAAATCACTCAATTCATTAGTTAAAATATGCTGTAAACATTGAGTTTCATTGCAGTCTTTTTGGTGTTGAACAGAATTCTTCAATGCATCAATGTATACAGATCGATCATTCACTAGATCACATAAAAGCTTAATCTTTTCCTTTTGTTGAGCATAATTCGCAGCCCTTTGCTTATTTTCTTCTTCTTTATATTCACTGATGTTTACCTCTGTGATTTTCAATAGTTCTGCATAAGTGTCTATCAATTGATTTGTGTAATTAATAGGTTGAAATGGTATATATTGAGCTGCAAGAGCTGTAATCAAAATGACGTTTACTTAAAACAGTTGGTTTTGTGAATAAGAAGCTTACCATCTATCATGTCTTGAGTTACAGTAGGTATTTCATTACTTTCTAGTTGTGACTTCTCCATGTTGTGTCTGTTGTGAACAGCATCAACTGAATAACATGAGAATAACCGTCGAAATTGACAACACTCCAAATGCAGCAAACTTTAATACTTTATATTAAAACCACAAGGTGGCGCTGTATCGTTGTACCTGACAGTTACTGACAATTTATTTAATTTTGCAAAATAAATCCAACTGCTTAATATTATAATATTAAAAAATTTGCTTTTAGGTGCATTACAAAAAACCTATGTGTTATAAGTTTTGAAATTTCGAAATTATTCAGAAAGGTTACCTGCTAAAAAAATGTTTTAGTAAATGGCTTAAGTATTTTGCCAGAAGAGGGCGACATAAATACTGTATTGAACATTTAAATTGCTGAATTTATAAATGCACATTTTCATCAATAATCTTAATTTATCAAAGAATTTAAAACAAAAATAATAAATATATCTAGTTGAGCATCTCCCTTGATTAAAAATAACCAAACAAGTTTCTTTTGCCAAGAAATCACCATGAAACAATAAATAACACGCGAAGAAAACACCGGAAACCGGAAAATTCAAAATGGAAAACCCACAGCGCGCGAATGCAATTAAGCGCGACGCCGCGCTGCGCCCCTAATGAACGTAACACCGTCGTGCGCCGTTCGAGCGGCGCGCATAAATTAAAATTACAACAATTAGCGCAACCCGCAACTTTATAAACAAATTAAGAAGCACATCTTCGCCGCCGTTAGCTTTCGGCGTGTGCATGACGCATTGTTTTAATTGCGCCGCTCCTAATGAATTCCGCGCGAAACGAGGGCGTAATCGTTACACCCCCGCCGCCACCGCATCGCCGACGAGAAGAACAACTTGTAAGAATCGTAATAACGGCGTGTAACACGGCGTCGCGACGGTCGCTTTTAATAAATAGTAATTAAAAGCGGCCCCAAGCTGATTATGATTTACAATTTCTAATTAAACGCCCCCAATGCGTTGAAGTAGAAAATGTTTTAGAGGTTTTATTAAGACACCAAATGTTTTGGATTAATTATTGTTCATTTATGATTAGAATATGCTAAATAAATTGTTATTAACCCAAGTTAATACAAAATAAAATAATTAATGATTTTTTGTTGGTCAATGATTGATTTCTATAAATTTTACAGGTTTTTTCGTCGTTCCGAGAAAATCACAATCATTAGAAACGCTTTATGACATGAAAAAAGCAACACGCTGCCTCATAATGCAATTCGAAAACGTTTTACCCCCAAAAAAAGATAAATCGTTTATTTCTGATTTGTCATTTGCCACACATCGCAGCATCGTTTATTATTCACACCTTCAGCCGAAATGCGACTTTCACACACTCGAAACTCACCTACTCACATGCTGCATCAATTCGTTTTCCCGAAAAAAAGAAAGATGGAATGGCACGAACCGCCAGTGAAAGACAAAACCCATCCAGAGACAGAGCGGCGCACAAAGGGCGAAAAGACGAAAGATCATTGAGCTGCCTTTTTGTCTCTTGTTTGTTGCACTGCGACGCCGTTCGCCATTGTTGCGCCGGTCGCACTTTGAATACGGTGTGTGTGCGGTGATAAATTGTCTTAAGGGATCCCCGCCGTTTCTCAAGGGTCCTCTACAGGTGTATTTCTCGGATTGTTGCGCGTCTACACAACTTCTCGATTCAAAACACGGCTAGAAAAATAGAAAGAAGACTCTTGACTCTTGTGTTGAGCATTTTTTTCACGGTGTTTGGGTTGTGTGAGTGTGTGTATGCTAGTGGTTTGCAGATCGAGATTGATGCGTTTTTTATAAACTCCCAAGTTTGTTTTATTTCATTGGGGGTGGCCAAAACACCGACCTCTGGGGTTTTGTGTGCCTGCAGGCAGTATGCTTACATGATGGGAATTCCGAATGATATCTATTCTTTTTCGAATTCGATGTGAAACGGGTGTTTTTTGTCTAGTTTAGATTTGTGATGTTGGCAAAGGAATGCGGACGAATCAAACCGCAATAGTGGCGCGACTAGACATAGCGGCGCGCAGAAATTTCTCAAAGAAACAAAATAGTCTGATAGGGAATACAATAGAATGTAAAAAAATAATGAATGATTCGTTGTGCGATGATATCTTAAACAAAAATTTATAATTAATCAAAATTTTTAGAAAAAAATCCTAATTTTCTAATTATTTATATTTGCAACTAGTTTTTGCGAGTGATTTCGTTAAATTTTATCAATTTTATCAAACAAATGTTATTTTATTTAAAAAAATTGAAAAATGCAAATAAAAAACTTTAACGCCATCTAGAATTCAATTATTTAGCTATAACTATGACTGATTCTCTATTACAACTTTCATCCCTTATTTAACACCCTATAAGTAATAATTTTTGATATTTTAATATTTATTCTGCTATTCACGACGCAAACAAATCCAAAAAATCAAAGTTCATCAAAATCTGTCCATCCGTTCTTGAGTTATAAAAGCTGTAACTAACAAAACTTTGCCCTATACCTAAGTTTCTATAGATATGTTATTACATGAATCGTGACGTCACGACTTTGATTTACCTACAACCAATTCATTTAACATATTGAAACGCAGTCATAATTCATTAATTTTAAAAAATAATTTATTACATTACAATATGCCTATCTGCAGCGGAAAACAAAAATTTGTCAAACGCGCGTAATTTTTAACTCGATTCATTTTATACAAAACAATATATTATCTCATGTGCCACGTCCGAGTCCACAGATTAATAACAGTTGCACGCCGAGGCAATTTAGCATTCAAATTTATGACGGATTCGAGCGTAATTCGTGCGATACGGCTCACCGAGCTCATGAAGTATGAACAGCGCGCGCACACTGCATTACATTACGTGCCTCTTGCGCGCATCACCGTTCGGAATTCCGCACTCGCTGCAAGCCAGCAAATACGAATACGAAAAGAATTCATTGCAACCGGCGCGAGAAAATTGCTTTGCACTTTGCGAGCCTGTTTCGTTTTTGCAGCTAAACCATAATCGCTTTTCGTTTTGTTTCGTTTTTGTTGTGCTGCGGTTTTTGCGTTATTTATCTGGTTGTGCCGCACCGCCGCGAGTTTTTTGTTTTACGCTTGGCGGTGAATGGCGGGCCCCGCACAGCAGCCATTTTCACGCCGGGCAATTTCGAGCCGTAAATCGTCGATGGATCGCGACGCAACCGACGTCCACCGTCGACATCGAGATATTGGCTCGTCGGGCTTTTTTAATTTGTACCCTTCCGAGCCGGTGGTTATTTAATGGTCGCGCGCACGCGATATTCGTCCAATATGGTCGTCACGCGTCGTTACCCGCTTAAAACAAAAACAAAAAACCCAACATAACCTATTATACACTAAATTATGTATAGGTATCGACGAAAAACACAATTTTTTTCGGTGTGAATTTTTTATTTACATTGGAGTCACTCCGCAACTATTCCGCAACATCCACGTGCACATAGACCGAAGGGTAAACGCGAATTACCATTTTATTAAAGTCTTAATAAAGCCGACACGCACTACATTCATGAGCTTTTCGTGTGCGGCACGCACCCTTGTTTAAACACGCGACAAATCCGAACGTCGTGATATCGACTTAATAACTCGTTAATGCTTCTTTCCCGAGGGGGGTGTTACGAGTCAGCGTTCGGTGGCGGTGGGTGGCGCCGCGCCTATCTATCACTCAACCCTCCCGACGCGACGGCGTCGCCAAATCCGCTCGCCAAATCCCGCTAACAAACACGCCGCGCGTTAAAATAATTTAATTAAATCGGGATCGGTTCCGTGTGCGCGCATTACACCCCTAAATCTGAATTCAAACGCGGCAAACAAACACCGCAGCAGCCAACAAAAAAACGTGACCATGAATGACATCATGACACAATATAAATCAACAACTTTGAAATACAATTTTTAACATTTTTGAGTTTAACACCTGTTTGTTGAGTGTAATAAAAGTTAAAATGTAACTACAATACAGATATTTCCTAATTTAGTGAGTGATAAATTTAAATCTCGTTTTCTTGTTTGTTTGCAGCGTGTTAGAGCTTTTTTTATCGGGGGGTTTAATCCGCAAGCGTCGCTAATGGCATTTGTCAGGACGCAAACGAATTCTAAAACGGACGCGTAATGAAAATGGATTATTCACAAATTAAACGTGTCAATTGTGTTTGCACGCGCCAATCTTTATTTAGTTTTTCATTTTAGTGTAAGCAGGATGTAACATATCCTTGAATTGCCGATATTTATTTAATACTAGCTGTGGCAAGAAAATTCGTCCCTGAAATTTTTAGTGAAAATCTAAATAATTTTTATTTTCTTATTCCGCATCTAGTAATGTGTCGATTTCATAAATAAGATTAGCAATTTTAATGTAAAAAAAGAGAAATGCTAATAATGCACTTTAGCGCCATCTGGGAATCAATTATTTAACTATAACTATAATTGAATTTCTATACTAATTTTCAATACTTATTAGATACCTTTGTACTCATAATTTTCAATATTTTAATATTTATTCTTTTATTCGGGATATAGACGAATTAAAAAAATCATAGATTAGGGCTTCACGCGATACCGAGACTTTTCTCGTATCGTCTCGATCTCGTCTCGGAAAAGCGAGACGATACCGAGGCGAGACTTGTTTTATCAATTTCTCGGCGATAGCGAGACCACAGTCCGAGTCTCGTTTTGGTCTCGTTATTGGTCTCGTGAAATTTTTTTTATGAAGTTGATATTAGTAAAATGAGAAAAGGGCCAATATATGAAATCCAATATATGGCCATCTGTGAAATATTTCTTTTGTATATTCAAAAGAACAAGTCAGTAACCGAATATCATGACCTTCAGTGTTCATGTTGACAATATTTTGTAGACAACTTAATAATATTGGGATAATTAATATTTTAACCTATGTATGTATTTTTGGAGTAATTAAATTACTAAACTTTTGTACTGCAAAGATCTTCAATGTTTTCTTTACACTTAAAACCATTAAATGTGATAAAAAATATAAGAACAAAGGCTTCACGGGTATCGCGAGACTTTTCTCGTATCGTCTCGGTCTCGTATCGCTTTTACGAGACGATACCGAGACCGAGACGATACTGTTGATAGTCTCGTCCACTCTCGTCTCGTGTGAAGCCCTATCATAGATCATCAAAATCTGTTCATCCGTTCTTGAATTATAAACGCTGTAACTAACTAAATTTAGTTTATATTCCTTTCATGTGTGTTTAAACGAAATAAAATTCGAAATGCATATTAAAATTCAATATGTACACTGTCCATTCTTGTTTTGTCCGCTTTTTGTCCCCACGGATTAGTAACAAAACAAGAAAAAAAAACGCTGCCTTGATATCAAAAAAATGGGCTGAGCCCCAATGCGTGAGGATATTTTTTCTCCTCCTCGTCTTCGCCGTGCCTCCTTCATAGATATAGATGAGATGTCACGCTCACCTGACGTCCTATTAAAATGACAATGGGACCCTTGATTCGGGGGCGTAGTCCATGCTAATACCTGGAATCGGATAATAAATAAAATCGAAACGCGCCGTATAGAAAAACGCGTTCTTTATGAAGGGCACCCTCGACACGAACGCCGCGAAGAGAAGAAAAAAATCAACCCTCGCCCGCACAATAAAAAAACGTTTCGAAAATATTATCCGATCGATTATTGCGTAACAATGGCGCGGCTATTGTGCGCAGCGGAAAAAAATTATACGAACTTCATCTTAAACGCATTAATAATAAACACATAATAGTGTCATCCACGTATCTATGTGAAAATATTAAATTAATGGAAGTATTTTATCAGGAATCACCATCACCAGAATGGTCCTAACCTCAAAACATAGGTATTTCTAATAAGGTTACAAGAATTTCAGAAATTAATGAATTTTTGCAAAAAAGAAAAAAATTTTAACTTTTGCACAAGGAGCGTATAAATTCGGGAATCCAACGAGAATGAGACAGAGAAAAGACGATGAGATGTGCGGAGGTGTGCGCGTCGAGGGTTAACAATGCCCACCCACAGGGCGACAACAATGCACGCCGGGAACATCTGCTTTCGCGATGGGGGAGTGTGCGCGAGTGCGCGAACGTTCGCAGCTAATAAAACTAAACTCGAACAAAACGCATTGCAAAAATAACACAACAACAACTCAACATAACCTTGAAACAACTAAACAACTTAAAAATTAGGTTGAATTAGGTTATGTATAACCTAACCTAAAACTATTCTGATCATATGTCACCGTGTCATTCGTATGCTGTGAATCTTAGATCAGAATAAAAAATAAAACATCTCTTCACACATATACCCAACACAAACGCATCATTCTTCAGTCTCGGCTGTCAAGCAACTTGTTAATATCCGAGCGTGAAAGAATCAAACACTTGTCCTGGCTTGTTTTTCACGCTTTGGAATCCCAGTTACAGTTTCACTTGTTTTTTCTTTGTGTGCTGCCAGCGTGGACCGCTGTCAAAAGTCAGCGTTTCCGATGTGTGGTGCTGCATGTGGGTCAAAAGCGACTTGTCATATTGTCAAGAAGTCAAGCGCAGAGAGACTACGGTGGCACACAGACAGGAGGAGTGACTTTCCACCACAATCTACTCCCAACGTGTCTTACCTGTGGACTAAGCTTAGTGACTTCTTTGGTGGATGGG